GAACACTATCCTTGCAGAGCTGAGGAGAAAAGGTTGAGGAGATGAGAAGGCTATGAATGCCCATGGTGTGCTGATGCACTTGCAAGGCCATGAACAGGCAGGAGAGATTGAAGGGGACAAGGGAAGAACTACAAGGACCTCACAGTGTAGAGTGCTCCGGTTATGAAGCAAAGCAGCAGATGTGTGTAGTGACTGTACTGAAAGGGGGTTGAGCAAGAAGGAGTTAACCGGCATTTTGCCGTTTCAGCCCAGCGCAGTGCTGCTGTGAACTGCTGGCTTGACAACTTCTGATACGGAGGATTATTTTTTTTGTTGTTACTCCTCTCTCAGCTGTAGCAGAGCTATCCTGTGGTGCTTGCTGAGCGTCTGCTCCTGGCCTGTGGGTCTTTTCATTCACACAGCCCAGGAGTGCTCGCCACACAGGGGAGCTGATCCCCCACGCTCTCTGGCCAGCCCCCCTTGGGTTACAGGTTGTGTCTCTTGATGGGCTGGATTTCAGCTCACCAGCCAAGCCGAGTGGCTCTCTGCCATTCCCAGGATGTTCAACCGTGCAGCTCCTTTTGCTTTCAGTACAAGATACTTAAAAGCAGTCCTTGCTGCACTGACTCAGTGCATCCCCTTGTCTCTAGAGGCGAACTCTAGCTCGAGATTGCAGTTCTCTGCCACGCTTCACCTGTCACGCTGCCGCCGGCTCAGTTTACAGCAGAGGCAGAAGTTCCTCGAGTCCCTGTGCTGTGGGCCTTTCCTACGTACTGCTGTCGGAGGGGGTGAGCTGCAGACACCCCGCTGCCCTCCCGGACGCGCTCGGCCCGGGGCTCAGCCTTCGCGCAGTGTTGGCGGGTCTCCGCCGCCGGCCCCTCGCACGGAGGAGCCAGGCTGGAGGCCGGGAGCAGCCCCATGGAGCGAGGCTGTGTGGTGCCACCTCCTGGCGCAGCCGCCCGGCAGCGGGCCTGCCGCACGCCCGGGCTCTGCCGCGGGCTGGAGGCTGATGGCGGGTCGTTGTCCCCAGGCACAGACTGATGACGGGTATTAGCGCACAGCCCCTGCTTCCCTCCCCCCTGTAATTTTCAGTAGCGTTGCTCCTGTTTTATGCAGGGACGAGAGCAGCATAGTAACAGCCCAGAGAGCAGGCTCTCTTGTTTTGATAGAGCACCGGTGTTTCCTACAGTGGGGAGCTGAACGTCAGCTCTGAGGCGGTTTATTTAACATCACGCAACACCTGTAGCCACAGATTAAGTGAGAGGATAGAACCCGGTGTAATTTGCTGCTTTCATAGTGCTAAAACCAGAGATGAGCTGTAACAGCTGGAGCATCCTGCCCTAGTGTCAGCAGCTCATGTCAACTGGGTTTGTATTTTTAAACAAACTCACTTTTTCATTAAACCTTGTTTCTGGTCAGGGGCTCGGCTGTGCCGCTAGATGTGTGTTTTGTGTAAGTTTTGTGTAAGTGTCTGTTTTGTACCAGCTGATGTAATGAAGTCAGGCTTGGTTGTTTGGAGGACTTAGGGTGCAGATGCAGGTAATAGCCCAGGGAGAACGGTACCTTTATTCTAGATGCTATGATGCAGCTCCCACAGGCCTGTCCTATTTTGAGGTGGAGACATATCATCAGAACAGGGGTATATAGTGCAGACACGAATGAGGGCACCAGGGCTATCTCCTGCTTTCTTTTGAGGGCAGGTAAGGGGGCAAGGGGAGGTGCAGCAGGCAGCCTTCCAGTACCTAAATGAGGCCTACAAGAAATCTGGAGAGGGACTTTTTACATGTAGTGACAGGACAAGGTGGAATGGCTTTAAACTGACAGAGGGGAGATTTAGGTTAGATATTAGGGAGAAGTTCCTTACTGTGAGGGTGGTGAGGCACTGGCACAGGTTGCATGGAGAAGCTGTGGCTGCCCCATCCCTGGCAGTGTTCAAGGCCAGGGCTTTGAGCAACCTGGTCTAGTGGAAGGTGTCCCTGCCACAGCAGGCAATTGGAACTGGATGAGCTTTAAAGTCCCTTCCAACCTAAACCATTCTGTGATTCTACCCAGGAAATAAATAGATTGTGTCATGTTCCCTCCCCTGCCCCCCCCCCCCCCCTTGCTTTTTTCCTCCAGCAAATAAAACAAAGGGAAAAGACGGCACTGGAAGATGAATTGTGCTGCCTGGACTAACTACTTCTGCTAAGCCTTAATAGGTTTGCAAAAGAGACATGCAGAACCCAAGTAAGGAGGGTGAAATAATGAGTTGGAATGTGGGGCTTTTGTCCCTGCTGTAATTACCCCTGTGCCAGCTCAGAAATATTAGACATCCAACAGGTGATGTTTATAGCTGAAAGAACCAAACAGTTCCTCCTTTCTCTAAAGGCTACATACTTTTCCTATCTAATCAGTAATACAAAACAGGGAGGTGCTGACACAAGCAGGAATAGCCAGTGACTTCATCAGTGTGGCAGCAGCTTCCCTTTAAAGTGTGAGCAATTCACTGCGGGGTTGGGAGGCTTGCTTTGGTTTTTATTTCCTCAATTCTGCCTTCTGTGCAGGAACCTGCAGCCACCTCTAGGACTGTTCTAGTCTTACATCTATGCTGAGGCAGAGCACAGTGCTACTCACTATTACCCTCAAGAAATGTCAACTGCTGCTCTTGCAATCAAAACAAAAGTAAAGCAAATAACTCGTCACCAGCATTTTTTACCCTTGTAATTAGTGGCTTTGACATAAGAACTCGAGGAAGCTGAATCACCAAAGATAAATGTTAACACCGTGTACATAACCATGAGCAGCGAGAACTCCTGAGAAACTTCAGGGAATCGTTCTTTCTGTTCCCCAGCAGACAGACTGGCTATTCCTACATGGGGAAAACCTGCAATTCACTGAGGTGACCTAAACTATTCTAAGGTGTACAGCAGGTGGGAAAGCAACTCTCTTCAGTGCAGTCACAAGTGTTTCCCTGCTGTCTTTAGAAAAGCAAGCTCTACAAAACATTCTGTAATGTTTGTGTGGCTGGGGAGTTCTAAAACCCACATATTATATAGTGCATTTGTGTTGTTTTGCTGTGCCAGCCCTCTGGATTGGAGCTGGAAATTAAATTTCATCTATAAAACATGTTAACCTCTCAGTTGCACAGTTCAAGTGTCAGAATTACCTCCTGCCCACACTGTGTCATGTGAAGTTAGAGGAACAATGGGGAAAGTGCCTTTCAGTGTAACTGAGAACTGGCCACCTGCACCTCCTGTACTGGCCAGGCTCAGGCCCGCAACTGCCACAGGCCCCTTGTGCCATAGCAGGCCGACCCAGCCGGAGCTCCGGGGACACGGTTGCACTGCAGTGCAGCATGACACGTTTGCCCACCTCTATTTAGGCTTCTGCATTGAGACCATAAGCAACGAGACAGACATAAGGGTGCATGTTCCTTTCTGGAGGAGCTGGTGTAACACACTGGTGAAGAAAACCTCAAGGTGCCCATAGACGTGGGAAGTGCTAGCTGTGGAGAGCCAAGCCACTGCCAGGATCACCCAGGTCAAGTACAAGTCAGTGTAATGATTGTTTTCATAATCACCTCACTTAAAAAAGAAATTATGTGGTGCCCTCACACTTGACTATAAACCTTGTGGTTAGGTCAGGTAGCTGGGGTAGGAGCAATCTTGTCTGGAGCCCATTTGTGTGTTATAAAGGTGAAGGAAATGTCTCCCTTGAGGGAGATGTCCTAAAGCAGGAATCCTAAAGCTACCCAGGAGCATGCTTCTTCCCTCTTCTGTAAGATGTCATGCAAATAGTTACCTTTCTAAGAAAGAAAGGACACGTGTTCTGTGACAACACATTTGCTCTTAAAAGACCATCAGATGGACAGGGCCCAGGAATACTGAGCAGGTAAGATGAATCCCTATTGGCTTAATGTTCATCTGAGCACAAACTAGCATTTAGCATGAAAAGTGTTTCTAAAGGAGGGAACAGTGAGACTCATGTTTTGTACTTGGTGCTGAGCAAACAAATGCACCAGCCTACAGAGCATGAATTACAACTGCTCGTTTTGGAACCTGGCAAGGAAATGTCAGTGGTCTGAAAGCAGCATATACCAGGAACTAGGGAATACAGAGCGAATTGTTTATCGTGAGGGGGATGAGGTGGGCAAAAATGAAGTTCCAGCTCCTGAGTCTTTTCTTTTGGGCAAGCGCTACCATTTGAGCTATGAAAGTCAGGCAGTTCCTACAACCACCTCCCCACACTCTGCTGCCTGGGCTGCTTTCCTAGCCATGGTTGGTCACTCCTCCTCCCCAGGCCAAAGCTTCCTTCACAGCTGGGGCTGGTTCTGAGTCAGGAGCCAGCTGTACTATATTTCTTGTAAATTTCGATTGGATATTAGGAAGAAGTTCTTCCGTGTGAGGTTGGTGAGGCACTGGCACAGGTTGCCCAGAGAAGCTGTGGCTGCCCCATCCCTGGCAGCGTTCAAGGCCAGGCTGGACAGGGCTTTGAGCAACCTGGTCTAGTGGAAGATGCCCCTGCCTGTGGCACAGGGGTTAGAACTGGATGAGCTTTAAAGGTCCCTTCCAACCCAAACCATTCTATGAAACGGTCTCCTAGATAATAAAATAGTCCTCCACTCCCAGTTTTCTCTCTGTGGTAGTTGGAATTTCTGGGGATGTGTTTGATCTGCAACGTGATCAGTACAGTAAGACGGTGACACAAGTTTAGCAATCACTTTGTGAGATGTGGTTGATATCCTGTAAAAAATGGTTCTCAGATTCTGCACACAGACAGGTTTATGTAAAATATATAAACATTTGTCCAAGTTGTTACAGATTGCATAAATACGGCATTTTTACTGTTGCATTTACAGATGTGCATGTACAATGATGTGCAAATAATCACAATTTGATTACAATCTTTGAAAGGTACTTGAACCTTGCATCTGAGTAACGCTATGAATGAAAAATGCCCACCAAAGAATTTAAATATATAACATGGTTTAAATTCATAACAAATTTCAACGTCTTCTCAGTAAAACTTTCACACATTTAAAATAGTTTGTATTCATTTTATTTGTATATGTCAAAATACAATTTTTTTTTCCAAAATAGTGGGTTTTGCAACTAGTTTCATGCAGATACAAGGTCTGCTCAGTACTACCAATAAAATCAATATAGCACAGTAGCCATTCATTTTTTAGATATAAAGAATAAATAACCTAAATATAAAACACTAAAATATTAGAAACACTTATTTAATCATTCACAGGCACCCAAACTTTACCAAATATAATCCAGAATATGCCTAACTGTCTTGTAACAGAACTCAATATGTTGCAGCCATTCAATTATTTATTTTATGTTAGCGTAAGACAATGGAAGTCCCTATAGTTCAGACCCACCTCTCATACAGATCAATTACAATAAGATATCTCAAACTATCTGTGTACCTTTAAAATCAAGAATCCTGAGCTTGGTAGTAAGAGCATAACCTTACATCTTCAAAAAACCAATCAACAGAGAGGACATCATGTCTTTCTTACCAAAACATATCCCAGTCCTGAAAAACTACCCCCCGCCCCCCCAAGTCGGCAGTAGAACACAATGACCTTTTTAAATGAAGGGGTACAAATTCACATTTAATATAGTATACAATATAATCAATAATACAATAGCTACTACAAGCTTTACAATGTACAATCTGTTTTAATGGCTGATCTGCTCAGTGGTTTTAGGCAATAAACTATGTGCCGATAGGATGTCATAGTTTGAATGGTTTAGTGAAAATATAAAAGCTGTTTCTAACAAAAGCGATCTTCATTTAAGTACTTTCTTTGTTTTTAAAGGCCACTGAAATGTATAAAATGGTCTGACTTGATGGTGTTACCAAATTGGATGCCTTCTCACATGGCAGCAACAGTGCATATAAACATTAATGTGAGTGTAATGGGTTATGTTTCTCAGATGATTTAGTACATTACTTTGGCTAGCACAACAGTTTTGGACAGCACTCAGATAAATACAGGTATGTGAAATGTAGTGAAGCAGTTATATTTATGCAATTTTTTATTATGGTGAACACTATCAAATTAAAAAAATGGGAGGAAGAGATAATAAAGTATTTTATATAGTTTAGACCTTTTGTAATGATAGGGCTCCATACAATGTACAATGTCTAAATTCTTTATACCATAAAAATTAATGAACTTTGTTAAACACACTATTCTGGAGTAGCCTAATTTGCATTAACAGACATTTGCAATAGGGAAATATATTCAAGCATGCCACGTGGTGGTCTGAAAAATCAAACCAGTACACATTTATATATACAGCATCACTCAGTACCTGCTCAAATGAATGTGACGATTACAGGATCTAACATCTTTCACTACAAACTTTTTTTTTTTAATTATTTTTTTAATTTTATTTTTAAAGTGACCAATAAAGGCAGAAAACAGGACTCTTAAAATATTTCTAGTTTCAACTGACTTTTAAAGCATTTTGTTTAGGAAATAAATGCATATTGCACAAACAGTGAAAGCAAATGTTCCACCAAGCATCTCTGTTCCAGGTGGTTGGACAATACATCTCTAGGTAGCTACACAAATATGTAATTTAAAAGGGTGTGTGGTCTCTGCAAATGGTAAAGCTGTGAAAACACTGTACAAGAAAATCTGGTACATGAATAATTAGAAGGGAAAAAAAAAACAACCCTTAAGGTTTGAAGAAAAACTGAGTATAGAAAAAACCTGGGAATTGTGGCACAACAAAAACATTGAGTAACTGTCTTCTGTGAGAGCTGAAAGCTGTTGTTGATGTAAAAGTGTTTATGTACAACTAAGGCTTACTGGTTAAATATCTGAGGCGTATCTGGCCTTGAACACTTTCCTTATTACGCTGTAGCTGTAAACAAGATTTCTCAGTCATTTCATCTTCTCAGCAGCTGCATTTTAACAGAAACAATGATCTTGATACAAAAAAACACACAGGTAAGAGGGCGTTTGGCAGGATATCTGAAAAATGACAGTCTCCAAGGGATCTTCCCACACTTCCAGTGACTGCCATACTATGGTCCACTGGAGTTACTAGTAATGTGCAATACCGATACTTGCTGCTGTAGTAAACCCTTTATTTGGAAAGTTTGCTTATAACTCTGATCAAGGCCCCATTTTCATCTTTTAGCCTCTGGTTGTCTGCCTTCAGGTCTGGTAGCATCTGTAAGAAATGAAACATGACGGTTATTTGCTATTATACCCCAAGTAAAAGCAGACAAGTCCTGGGCATAAGAATCTTCATTCAGCTTAAGCATCTTGGCAGTTCTCCCCCTTTGTATCAGCAGTTCAGAAAAACTGCACTTTTTGGCATGGTACAGTTAAGAGTTATAGATTAGGACGTTTCATTTGCTTGGACTAGATGCACTGAAACTTGGTGGTGCAGATGACAAGCCTCCAACAAAAGCATTTACAGTAGCATGAAGAAAGTAGTGTTACAGTAGCATTACAGTAGTGTAATTAGACACCTCAAATTTCAGTGCAAACCAAAAAGAAATGTTAATTACCAACAGTTTAAAGAGGCTTGTCTATGCTGCACTTGCATAGTTTCATAAAAACATGCTGTGGCTAAGCGTATCTACCACTGTGCTTGTGGATGACTTCACCTATATCAGATACAGTGTGATTCAGCTTGTTAGCTCATAGCATTAATCTTCCAACCACTTCCAAACTCATGTTGAAGCACACATCCTGTAATTTCAGCTCATATCCCTGAATAGCATATTTCACGCAAGATCAGATCATTGAAAGAGATCACTGAAACATCAGGCTGCATACTCAGGCATTCAACAAGTTAGGAGATGGCAAGTTAAGGTTGCCACAGGAGATGGGTGACACACAAGCACAGAAGCTGGAAGGCAGAAGCCAAGTGAGGTGAGAGCTGGACAGGATCAGACAGGAAAGAAGGACAAGTCAGTGCACAGAGGTTTGTACTGGGAGAATTTAACTTGTCAGAGAAACCAGCAGTAATCTCAGCAGTTCTCTGTATCTACATTCACACACTGATAACAAACCACCCATAATACTCAGGGCTAAATTACGTGTATGTTTTCTAGCAGGTTTACACAGGAGGTAACAGCCTATTCCTGCACAGTGGTTATTCAGTAACCTGAAGTGCAATTGCATGCAAGAGGTCTAAGTCCAGCTAGTGACCTATGTAACAACTCCTACAAATTTTTTCATGAAGAAATTTTCTTGCCACTAGTTTCGTTTTCATTTGATTCAAGCAAAATTATACTTTCAACCCCATTATATTCTGAATATTGTTATGGAACAGAAAGAACTGAGAGGTTTAAAAATGCAGGGATTAACCGTGCATTATACTAGAGGCTTCATTTTCACATCTCCTCTGGAGGATTCCTGTCCACACTCAGGTCAGCAGACAGCAGACCCTGTCATAGAGTGAAACATGATGATGCACTGAAGATGACCAAGGTATAGGATTTATAGTTTATTTACCTGAAAATACCAAAGTACATGAAAGGAAGACAACACGAGATCATAAGAGGAAAAAAGGTGGTCTCCACAACTGGAGTAAGTAAAAATCATTCTGCTAACCTGGATTTCAACTCTGCTCTGGTGAAGCTCAGGGCAAGACACCTAAACTGAGCTCTCCACAGAGTCAGAGGGAAGCTTCCACTATAGTCAAGTGAGAACTATGCTTTGAATGGAAAGTGCTGGAAAATCCTGATTACTTTCAAAACCCACGTCAGGGTGTTTGGAATTGGGCAACACAAATAATTGTTTGGCTATTTTCAAGTATTATCTATGTTAAAGTTTTTAAGCTGTAAAAACCAACAGCTGTTGTCCGAGATACATGTGCTAGGGGTCATATCCAGATAACAGGTGTGTGTACCACACATTTGTGCATACACCTCTAATAACAGGATAAACCTGGGGTGGTTCTATGATGTGTACCTGCAAACAATGAGATAGCCATTTGTTCAGGCAAAGCAATCTAAACCTTCCCTTCATCCTTTTCATTCTGTTCCAGACGTCACACTAAAGATCCTGCGTGAAATCATAACGGCATTCATCTAGGAAGCAAGGGGCTCTAGTTTTGGTCTTGTTAAATGGGTATCTCATCAGTGTTGTTATGTATGCTTCCCAGTGAAACCTCAAAGTAATTCCAGGAATGTCACAGTCCTCCTTCAACCAACTGACTAACGAGCTGCAGCCCAAAATGCTTAGTGACATACAAGAAGACCCACAGAGTGGTGTATTTGCTGGTGAACTAGTTTAATAAAAGAGGTGCTGTTCAAATGCAGGGTTTTAATATAATCCAGTACCATTACATGTCTTCAAATCTCAGTAGATACATTTTAATCCTGATTAAACTAGTAGGTAGAATAGGTATTAAAAAAATATTTTCTCTTTTGTTGTGAGTCTGCTAAAGAATAGGGGAAGACTGGTGGGAGACAAAAGCAGTTATGAGTAATAGGAGATTGAGAACCGTAAGTATTTTAGGTTACTTGAGTTTATCCTTCCTGGTCAATCTATACTAATCCCCACATACCTTGAACGTAGCAAAAGACATTTATACAGTCCTCTTGGAGCAGTGCATTTCTATGGTATTCTGACTCCTCATGAGGTGACATACACCCTTCATGTGCAGAGGGCAGGAAAAAAGTTTTGCAGTATGTTCAGTAAAAATAGTTATATACTGTACTTAACAGTCTGAATTCCAATTTGCTTCTCACTAAAATAGAAAAGTATCTTCCTGTGATGAGATTCTTGAAGGAGACTACAAATGCGCTCTTTTGCCTATCTGTATTATGTATGACTAGCTAGCAACTTTGCAGTGCTTTTGTTAAACAAATAACTATTCAATAATCATATATGGAGCCAACCCAACTCTGTACAGTAAGAATAATATCTGTGTTTGCTGGAGGATTTAGCAGTTTTTACATACAAAACAGCTTTGTAAATTAAGATTACAAAAAGATACCTGCTCAGATGCATCAGGCACACTGCTATGGTTAAACTACCATCATAACGTCAAACCTCCCTGCTGCGTTTCCATTGTGTTTCTTTTGCTAGCCAGCCTCCTCAAGCTCCGTAATGATCTGCCATTGAAAACTCCCCCTACAGAAAGGAATACTGAACAGTTTTCTACGGGTTAACACCCTGAACTGGCTTACCATGGTTAAAAGAATGCCAGTGCTAGCAAAAATAGATGGTATGGGATGTGTGGCTGTGGACAGCAGTCATTATTAGCTCAGCTGTGTTGAAAACCCACATTGTTAGCTGAAGCTGGTGTAAAATGGGCTGCCCTAAAGGGACAGCTCTCCCTCCTCATGCAGCAGTGTGTGCCTGCTACTTTCTGCATGTTAGTTTAGTGATTCAACAACTCTGGGGTGAAGTGGATCCAGTCATATAAGGTATAAAGGGATTTGTTTTCAGCCAGGTCAGTGAACCAAAGGGTTAACACAAGGGAATGTTGAGGAATGCAGGGCCTGGACCAGCAGCAACCTTTCTATCCACATCCTATTGTTTAGATCAGCTCCAGGAAGACACAAAGCCAAAGGATAAACCTCTTAATTTCATGCCTCTTGCTGGGGAACACCTGAGATCAGACACTGAGCAGAATGAAAAAATGTATACTCTTTGCCTTGCTTCTAAGTGGGAAGAGGGCAAGCGAGGGGAAGCAGTTTAGCAAGAGTCAGTGCAGAAGTGACTGCACATGTTAAAACGTGTTTCACCTATACATCTTAAACTTAATTTTGCTTACACATCTTACAAGCTCACTGAAACCCCCACCCTATTCAGCTGTTATATAAGAGGAGGAAGAAAGGCATATAGATTTGGTATGGAATGAAACTACATTTTGTTCCTCACAGAAGTTTTGAATCTTCAGCAGGTTTCTGAAACAGTCAGGGACTGACTTGAGTGTATCCCAGTGCAAATTCAAATCCTTTGAATTACTGCCAAGGTTTTAACATGTCAAAGGTTTCCTGGATCATTGCCAATTCATCTTCAAGTGAGCAGGGAAAGCTTCAGTGCTAGCAAGGACAACACCACGCCATATCCACACATCTGTGACACCTCTAGTTGGTACACCAGACACCATGCTTTAGCCACGCTTCCATAACCGAGCAGCAGTTAAGGCAGTTTCTGGCACACAAGTGTTAATAGTAAAATTCTACCCAAGCACAAACTGAATGTCAACACCTGCCTGGCTACACAAAGGAGCAGGAAGAAATTACAAGTCCAAAGAGCGCAGCTGCCTATGGGACCCTGACAGCTTGGCAACCACTCGGGTCAAGGCCCTATTCTCAATCACCAGTCGCTCATTTAGGTGTCTCAAAGATTGAATCTGCTTTATTTGTTGCAGGTTCTGCAGGAATCAAAGAAATAGGAGTGAAAACGAGGAAAAAAAAAACCACCCCACATTTATGTATGTTTTAAAAGAACTAGAGATGAGCAGAACTGAAAGAAAACTTGTAAGAGACAGTCCTGTTTAAAGTAGATAAGTCCCTGTGAAAGGAAAGTATCAAACAAGTGGCACATTCTTGAAAAGCAATCTAAGAACGAGCCGTGATTAGTCACAGCTTTCCAAAACAGTGCAGGATACATTAACAATGAAAGCTATTCCTGGAATTCTTTACTTAACATCCTAATTGCACAAACGAAATCTCCTATTCAAAAGTCTGTAAATAATGACACTTTTAACGTATACTTTTACACAGAAAAGTATTTAAACTTTAATTCAAAACTTTCACATATTGCTTATTTAAAAAAGAAAAAAAAAAAGCAATGCATTTGCATCCTCTATTTTTCTAGGCAGCCCAACCTCCCTAACAGGAATTTACAGGTTGATGATAGAAGCTCACATGCTGTCTTCCACTCTTGGACACAATTATTTTCCTCTGCCACAGTTTGCTTTCTACGTATTTCACTTCTAAAGACCCGTCAGGAACCACAGACATTGCATCTTCCCTTATAGCAAACAATCTTGGTCTGAACCCAAGGCAGCTAGAGGCATTGCGGTTGCCTTCTGCTTACATCTGCAGCTACAATTACTTTAACAAAACTATGCACGCATTTTAACAAAAAGTATTTGGAAGTTAATGCCAATTCCAAGCACCAGAGGGAGCTCAAAATTGAGCTTGAAAGGAAACTTTTTATCAAGCAGTGACAAATAACAAATGTCAAACCAACGATACTTATTAAAAATTTCAGCGTGCAAATATGTTTCCTACTTCATCATGCTGCACTAGTTTCCTAGTCATACTTTAATTCTATCAGTTTGGCTGGCCCTGTCCAATATTATATCCAAAGACATAATACAAAAAAAACCCTGCCAAATTTCATCACTTTCTTAATCTTACCAGAGGATTTAACACTGATAAACCAGGAAACTAAAAAAAAATCCATGACTGGTTTTAAAAAAAAACAAAAAAAAACCAAAACAAAAATGTATACTAAAAATATATATATTTTCCTTCTGAGATTCAGTTTATATACAGTTAAAAAAAAAAAAACAGAATTCAGTGAATGTAGTAAATATTGCTTGTCAGCATCTGAAACCTATCTCCTGCTTTTTCTTAACTAAAACCTGATTATTATTAACCCTAAAAAGGAAAGCTTTTGATATTGGCGACATGCTGTATAACACATAATTTAAAGAGCACAAGATAAGATTTGAAGAAAGATTTAATGCATAAATATCTATGGAATTATATGCTATCATTATTTTTAAGTGAATAAAGTAGAGGGTATCACAGCAAAATCATGGATTGCAATTCCATCTTTATTAGATCAAGCTGTGTTCAACTCCAACCATCTCTGAATGTTTCTTGTTAGCCAATAATACATTAATGAACTGTAAGTCTCAGTGCTTTCTTAGAGATCCTACATGTATGACTGCTTATGCCAGGCTTTGTTCAAGCTATGACATGAGTGATTCTGAAACGCAATTATAACTTAGTTATTTTCTAAAGAAATTATAGAGACCACTAATACTGCCAGACTACATATTGCACTGACATGTTATTAATAGTTTAACATGTTAATAATTTACTTACTTTCAGTTCCTCTTCCATTTCAGATATCCTTCTTTCTAGAGCTCTTCTTTCCTAAATTGAAAGATGTGTGTTAAGACTGAACACCACAATTTTTTAAAAACTACTGCTTGTAAATACTGTGTTAACAGTGAAATACTTCAAGTTTCAAAGATCATACAATCAAAAGCATAGTGTGGACAGGAAATTTGTGATGGCAGTGATCTACAGAAATTTTCTCAATATGGAATTTTAGTATCAGAGGAGGAAGAGATATACATCAAGTCCTACAAAACATACCCCTTCCTTTACACAAATTTAGATAGGTTGTAAGTACCGTTTATTTAGATTTATTTTTCGTAAGCTAGGCTTCTGTAATAACTTAGGATACAAGAAATGCAGAAAATGATCAGAAACAAAGAATATTAAAAGAAACAAGCACAAAAGCAGAAGCTTTTCAAGACAAGCAAATCTAGTTGAAACATCTGTCTCAGATCAGTGGGATGTGTCTACACTTTATAAAATGCAATGTAGTGTAGATACACCCAAGTTTACATTAAAGGGGTTCAGCTGAGTACCAAAGTAGCTACCTAAGACCACCTGCTTCTTCAGTAAATGTTTCCTGAATATTTTCTGCGTTTCTAGTATGGTTTTATTTCCCCCTTCTTTTTTTTTTCTTTTAACCTGAGAAGCAGGAGGAATTATCCTCTGTAGCGAACTTCAGGTTGTTTGGATTACACTGATTACAGTCCCCAAGCAAGCTTATTGAAAGGTAGCTTAGGGTTTTCTACACTATGATGTGGTCTGCATTGCAGCCACACTACCATATTTCTAAATGATGTTATTGAGTTTAAACATGATTTTCAACACATCTGATGGACGAATAGCTAATGAAATAGACTTCAGGGCTTTATAGCTTGATTGCTTGCTGTCCTGTGTCAGACAATGCAGTGTGTCTTGTTTAAAGCAGCTGCAGTTATCAGTACTCTACATTCAGATCTTTCTAAAGTGTGAAAGGCAAAAGCAACAGATTATTGCAAAGTGGACATATGCATCTGCATACAACGGTGTTATGCAAACAGCAAGCAGCATTGACTGAGGTGTGTAAAACTTTGGTTAGATCATACCGCCCAGTAGATACTGACTCTTGCCGGTCACCTTTCAGATATAAATCATTTGAGTTCAGTTTAATCATAGTGCAGTTATTCCCCACCATTTTCCCATTTTAGCAAACAACTTTAAAGGTTTATCAAAGTAATAGGTTACTGCAGTTGTTAATATACTTAATATACTTAACTCCTTCAAGTTAAGACTTGTCCTATAACGATACTGATGGATAGTAATGTGCATAGTAAGTACCAGTGAGTTAACTGCAGTAAGCGACTAACAAAAACCCCACACCATCTTACATCAGAATTGTATCAGTTACCTACTAGCTTTGTAGAATAACAAATGTGTTCTTATATTAAGCAGTATTTGACAAGTCCTAAGATTACCAAGAGACAAATCATCAAATAAATTTCAACATTTCATATGTTTAGAAATCATTAGTCCTTTTGATGCATTTGCTTAACTACCATGTTGAGCTTGTCTAAGAACAACTAGTTGCATAAAAGCCAATCAAGTAAAATCCTTATTTCATTAACTTTATATAATTCACTTTATTTAAAAGAAAAATTTAAGTGGACTGGTGTAGATGTAAGATTTTTTGCAAAAAGTATTGTTCTGATTTGTTTAACTGGTTTGAGGAATGCCAACATGATACCACACTGCAGTTTCACTGGGAAGATTTACCAGGATCATTTGATTAGTCCCTGGACTCACAGAGTTTGCAATTTATGCAGTCTAGAATTTTATGATATACTTCAACAACTCTATAAGGTATGCCAAGGAACATCTGCAATCCTCAACATGAAAAAAAAAAAAGCATGCTAGTCTCTCAGCTTATAAAATACAATAGCTCGTTTGTATTTCTTAAAGTAGCTAAGAGCCATGGGTTTGATGCAGTGAGAATGTGGTACAGGGATATACATAGGTGAAAAATCAACACCAGAGTTATAAAATTATTAAGAAGTAAACCCAGATATTAAGAAGTAAACCCAGAAGTAAACCCAATATATTTCTATATTCAGTGCTATATAAAAAAAATACCTTTCCATAGCCCAAATTCCCAGCTGATGAATTCTAAATTTAGGGGATGCTTGTTAAAGGCACCTACAATTCTGAATTCTGATCCAGTCAGAAACCTGGCAGTTTGAGTTTTATTGTCACATCATAGGAACTTCTGCTTTTAATGTACTTTTCAGGTTGTTAATGAAACCTTTTTGTCTACGTATTGCTAGGACCTTGCATCTGTGATTGAGTCTATACCCCCTTCCCTTGGAAGTCACCCCTTTCTGGTGAACAGTACCCAAATCACACCATGGATATCCACTTCTGAAGGCTTAACTCAAATGAAATTCAACGCTAGTATTTTCTATATGTTATTACTTATTCTAGGCTTAATAAATGTTCCCAATTAATTAATATTCCCATTAAGCTTATTTCTGGAGATCAGCTGTTGATGACTAGCAGCTGAGAATCCTGCTTCAGTCACTTTCAAAGGGAAAAAGTAACTCCAGATTTTAACAAGGGAATTCAGAAATAAATTCCCGTTTTAAAGTCTTGTCTGAAAGGAAGTTTAAATTTATAAATACAAGTAAAAATCTCCTAAATCTGCTGTAAAACATGTTTTCAGCCATATGGCATTATCACTAAGTTCATGTTTTAAACTGCAGTACTGAGTGCTCTGCAGTATGGAACCTATATAGTAATGAACACAGCTACATCTATGAAACAATTAAATGTCCACTTGTGTGGCCACAATAGCAAGCAAGAAACCAATTAAAGCTGCTGATGAAACTTTCTACTGATGAAATCAGTATCTACAGCAGGATGCCAACATATCTAGGAGAAATAGGTGCTAAAAGGCTGCTGCAATTATCTGGAGAGATTATTAAGATAAAGTTAATGAAACTTCAGGAATTGCCTGAGAGTATTTCTACATCTCCATGTGCTCCTATAAAATCCTACCAAGTGCCTGTTTATACACCAGACAGGTTTGTAGAAGTAAAAATCATTTTCTTAACCTCAAATACTGGAAAGTAAACATAAAAAGCTAGTGAATGTGAAGTTTACCAGGGATAAATAAATGTATACCATATCACTTATCACTGTCAAAGTCCCATTTACACATCTAAAGTGTCACTCCAGGATCAGGAGAGAAAAGAACATGTGGCCAGCACCATGAAGGAAGCCAGGACCACAATAAAACCAATGTAGTTTGCTTTACATTGCTGTAGAACTACACTTCTAAGATGGATTTGAAACTGCCATGAAAATACAGCCTAAAGTTATCATGTGTCTAACTTCTGAAATAGTTCTTGTAGTCTATCCCACATACAAATTTATTACATGGCTCCTTTCCCATTCAATTTAGGGCTGTTTCTGATCCTGATGCCCACCTCTTCCCACACTGCTTACTCATTTTTCCCTCCTTCACCAGTATTACATTCCCTCTGGAAAAAGTTACCGTATAGGGAAAGAGACAGATTATGATTAATTTTATATCCTTAGCAGGTTTAAGGTCTCATGTCTGTGAGGTGAAACAGCTACTTTCTTACCAACAATAACTAGTAGAACACCATGTATGCTCCTGGAAAGCTCTGAGGAAATTAAAGTCTCCAAATCTTGGAAATGGCTTAGAACATGAGACACACCGAATCTGCTTAACCCTCTGGAATGCCAACATTGTTTTGGATGAGATGGAACAGATCCCTGGAGGGCAGCAGGGTTTGGAGCCTGGTTATCATGAACCAACACATAATCTGAAGTCAATTCTTATAAGTAATCTGATCTCACAATATCTCACATTCAGTGCCACTTGGAAACCTAGAATCTCCAAATCGTCTAAAAAATGCAAGTTATGAGAGAGGCTTCTGCTCCCATTAAAATATATCCAAGCCAGGGGTTGCAAAACAAACTAAAACAAAGTCTCAAGTGGAGTACTTAAGAGAACTTTGGCAGAAACTCACCCTTTTCTCCATTTCCAAAAGTGACCTGTCAGCAAATCTTTCTTGTCTCTGAAACACAAAATTAATGAAGACATTGATATTTAACCAACATAGAACTGAAGAAAAAACGATTCAACTGGACATTTTAGTATTCTGTTCAAAGTATGTTTTGAAAAGTATTTTCAGGGAAGTTAACACTGAAATAAAGGATAATGAACTGGATTTATCACGCACTTCCTCTGTGACCATCCCTATGTAATTTAATCACTACACAGCCTTTGGCAAATAAGGGTAATATAGTATTTCTACCTAAAAGCATTACAAAACAAACAACTTTTTAATGTAATTCACTGGTATTTACATGGTACACATGGAAGACACTTACATACAGGAAAATTCCGGCAAATAGACTAGGAAACACTCTTTCTACAGCAATTTAAGAAGAATTAAACTTTTATGTATGCATTTGCTATTACTGTATTCAGCACTGTTATCTGACAGCAGTTATCTGCAACTGGAGTGCACTATTTGCTCTTCAGTTCTAAGATAAAGCTATCTAACTAGCCAGGAAGAACTTGCAGGTTATGCCAATCTGCCAGCAGGTTTATGAATTAAATCAATCAATCCTGACTGACAGTTGGAATATAAGCTTAACAGTGTAGAAAGTGTATATCCCAACCCAGCAAAGAAGCCCCAGATACATGCTGGCAAGAATCACTACTACTTAAATAGGTAGCAGGCAGTCTCACACATTTTGTTAATAGCTAAAGACCAGAATCCTGCACATATTTCTCGTTAGAAACAGAGAGGTACTCTTCTTCACTCCCATTTTTGGATAAGAAACAAAGCTGATGTCTAGTACAAAGCAGCCTGTAGCCTGGGGTGCTTCTAGTTTGCTGTCCAATTTGTCAGTTAAGTACATGCTTTTTTTGTTTCATACAAACCTGAGTGGTCTTCTCCAACTGCAGCTTAAGATCTGTAAGTTCCATATTGGTATCATGTAACTGTGCTTTCAGTTTTTCATTTTCAGCTAGAATCTGTTCATAAAGCTAAGAGAAAATATGCATTAAAAAAAAATACCAAATACTCATTCAGTGAGATTAGCTGAAAAATTTAAAAACTGCAATTGAGCTGCAAGTAAAATGAACAAATACATTAAGAAGCAAAAATCAGTTATAGACTGAAAAGATGTTTAGAATTGTAAGAACTGTAACCAAGTTTTTCGAGGAACGAGCAACTTTGTACAGGGAGCATGTAACTTACCTTACACATATTAAAGAAATACTTGCCACTCTTTTTTGCTTCAGTATTCACAGATTAGACACCACAGTAAACTTTGTCAAACTCTTCCTCTACTTTTTAAGCAAGATCTAAACAAATTTTTACATTATATGTATGTAAGCTAGCAAATATAAAAGCATTCACATATGTCTAAAGCAGTTTTAATGATATAATCAACTAAAAAAACCCCAGTATTTATCATAAAAAATGGATCTTGGCTCCTCTGGATTTTTCCCTTGCCTTGAAAAGTGCAAAAGCCAGAAGCTGTTTTGTAATGTGCATTTTCCTCCAGTGTAGTGGATGCTCTGCTCCTCTATTTGGCTGAGCTGCTTTAAGCAGCATTTGTGATGCAATGTGAGATTGTTTCCAGAGACTTTATGAGAAACAGTAATAAAGTTCTATTTTCCCACCAAAATTATTAGATCATATACCTTCTTAAAATCAGTGCTATCTTCTTTTTCTAGTCTACTGCAGTATGGTTTTCGATCTTCAAGGTAACTCTGTGACACCGACCGCCCTTGTGCTGAATCATAACGATCACTTGAAGACAGGCTGAGGGATCCCATATCATATCTGTGAAAGAAAAGGTCTTATTATAATTTGTGTTCAAACAGAGACCACTCACTGTATCAAACGTTAGGAATCTGCTGTAACCCAGCTGAAAACAACCAAATGCAATTATGTGCTTTAGTATAGCCACTGTCTTCTAATTTGATGCAAATTTGATTTTTACATTCTTTCAGTACTTCAAGATTCTGTATGAAAAGGTTTTCAAACTGCTCAGTCTGCCAAGTTCCTGCACCTTGTATGTATTTTAAATTAAAATATTCAAGCAGATATTTACATCTTAAAGCACTTTATGTTAGCTTAGATACTTTAATTATTTATAAAGATCTACTTTTAAAGAATTATTTTAATTGAAAGTTTTTATAAAGGAAATCTCTAAAATATCATCCTAGATGAATTCTTCAGGTTTTATTAGAGAAACCAAGGAGATTCCAAAACCTTTTGTTGTGAATTCTAGTATTTCAGCAGATGTTGTTTATGAAACAAATCTTCAGCAAAGTCCTTATCCTATTCATCACTATATCACAACCAGTATTAACAAAGTCCACTGTTTACTCTTCACTGATCGTATGCTGTAGCAGTTATATTTAACAGATTTTCAGCACAGACAGAACATAATAAAATCAAATTATTTGAAAGGTCTAACAACAAAACTTTTTTTTTTTTTAAGGATTGATATTTCTGCATTGCCTTTTAACGTATCTTAAGGAAATCTGATATTCAGAGGGTGTAGCACTTTTCTTGAGATTCCTTGCAAACTTTTCATTAGTGTATTCTAAAAGAGGGGCAACAAGATCCTCTTATCTTCACTGCAAAATCTGACTTCATACTGAAAAATCTGCAGGGAACCATCCTATATCCACTGTGTTCTACAGAACGCTCAGCCCGCTTTCAGTGCACTACTAATAGAGAGTCCAGTATATTCCCCAGAATGGAGCAGCCCACCCACACATGATAAAAAATATTTAGTACTGTAGCATTACAACTGTACATTTTTCCCATACAATTTCATACAAAGGTTAAATATTAACCTGGCTGACTACTGGGGTTAAGCTGTAGTTGTACGTGAGGAACCTAAAATGGGAATATGTGAACAGAAAGTGTGACAATTTTAAATTTATTTAAATTGCACATACCTTGACAGGCTGTCACTCTGAGGTGGCAAGGGGTGGAAAGAGAGAAAATGAATGGATCAAGTCAGTAAATTTTATTAAATAAAATATATAACAATATGTGAACAAATATGCCTAAACAGTTATGTTAAATGCATACACTATCCAACAGTACGTATTATCTGAACATTGTCAAGCTTCAATATTGTTATGTCTGGAACAGAAAAGAAATATGTTCTAGAATGTGTCTGCCAAAAGATTGCTAAAATATGATTTACAAGGATGTTAACATTATACCCTAAAAGTCTGGACTGGCCTAAACATTAGTAATTTCAGCAGTCGGTGCATTCTGAAATTTGCCTGCCTGTTATCGAAGGCATCAGAACTGTGTTCTATGAATTCCCTTGTTCTTTTTCCTCTTCTCTATCATTAGCAACGTTTTGAAAGGTCAACAGAATCAGGACTTCACCTCAAAACAGTAATATATAAAATAAGCTACAAGATCATTGTTTCAACATAGCTCAATGGAAAACAAGCTACTATACCAGTAACATAAGGAAGTACTTATTAGACTTAAAATTGAGTGGCATAATTTCATGTTTTGTATTACTTTCATTCCAGGTGAATCCATAGGCACAAAGTTCACTCACTTTATCTGACAAGCAGAATTTAATTAAAAGTGATGACTTAAGAGAGAGGGAGTGCCCTCTAAGAATTACATCAGTCATGCAAACCTTTTTTCCCTCTGGGTGGTCAACACAGATTCACCATTTATTCCAATCATATTAACAGTCTTGAATGAAGACATTTTAGTCAAGGAACTCCACTGATGTATCATCACCTGGATATACTCCGGTGTTACCTAGCAGTGGCTGAAGCCATCCCCAGAGGTGTATTGGCTGGTTGGGTGGTATGCTTTATTTGGTTTCCCTTTTTAGAAGGAAGCTATTTTTTCAGCGTGCATAGAGGAAAAAGCCACATTCTCCACAATACATGCAATTTCCTCTTTGACACCTTGAAGTGCATTTACTACACAGAGGGTATCAGAAGTACATGCTGTAGACTAACCACTCCTAATAAAACATTGTTATTTTCTGTTAGGGGCATGAATAATGCCAAGAACTTAAGAGACTTCATAGCATACATCACAGTCAGGTGGCACACACCTATACGTAAGTATCTTTTAAGCTACTGGCCACAAGAAGATTAAATTCCACCTAAGCATAAGCCTTATCTTGCATAATTGCATGTCTGAGTAAGATCAGTGTGAGATTACAGAATTCCACCATACAATCAAAGATCTACAGAAATCCCTTTTCCACTGCTTCCTTCTCACCTCAACAAAACAGAGGAAGCTTTGTCCGCAGTCAAAACTTTAGGTTTCTCTTTTTACCTTTAAGGAATGCTGTATGCAGAAAAATGTTAAGCTGGTCCTTTTAGTGTTCACCTACAATGTAGGACAGCCACTACAAAGAAGTAAACCATTCCTATATTATTTCTTAACAAATACGCTTTCTAAAGGCTGTTTTTTCTTTCCTTCTAGTGGACTCCCCATGGCGCCGTGGGAATGTGAAACCTCCCAGATCTCCATTCCCCTGCTGCACTATAGCTTCCCACACGGAAAGGCAAGTTATTAAGTCACACAGAGACCATCTTAGAAACAAAATTTTCCAGCTACACAGTGAACAACAAACAAATGGGTAAGGTAAGAAAGCAGTAATTGCTATAGGTAGGAAAACACAGACACAGGCCATTCCCATTGTCCTGGCTGAGGCTGGAAACCTGGGAAGCTGGACAAGGATAACATAATCTTCAGAAAACTACTTCAGCGGCTTCTGTTCCCTGAAAGCTGTTAAGCCCTGCTCCTGCTGCTCAAGAATCATCCAGCCTCCGTACCTCACTGAAAGAACATCACATCTCTCAAGCACATGCCTCTTCTTGCTCCCCTCACTTTTCACAAACATATTTAGGGTTTACTTTTGTAGCACTCTTCTCTGTTTGCTCTCTTTCCCCTTCAGATTCTGTCAGTTCAGCTCAGTCACAATCTCTGACATATAACTAAAAAGAATTATAAAAAGGTGTGACTGTGAGTTTACAAACTTTACATAAAGCTTGTCTGAGGACAAATGATATCAGCAAAGCTATCCCTGTGCATCCAAATCATAACATGGATGTTCTTTGCACAGTCACAGAACAGAGTAGACTGAGCAGCCACCATCGAAGCAGCAGCACACATGCAGTAACAAAAACCTAAACCATACATATCCTTACCTACATGACCTGAAATAACAATTACTTCCAACCCTTCTAACCTTTCAGAAGTCACATATCTGGTATCTCTAGCTAAAACAAAGTTTCAGCCCATTTAATTACAACGTAATCACAGTTGTAGTACGTCATATTGAAACCCAGGTTTCAGGGAAACACTTTGTTATTTAGAATCCTTCGGCTGCCAAAATCTCTTCTCACTTCCTTATTTTTAAATGGCTATCCTACAACTTATTTCTAAGGCTATCCTTCTGGCAGGAACACCAATTTTCTTTAAGTAACATGGTGGTTTTTGTGTGAGTTGAGGAAATTCTCAGCTCTTCATATTAAAAAGCCAACAGAAAATTTCATTAGAACCTCGAACTGTCAAAGTGGAGGCAAAGTCTGACATCTCTTTAATTGCCCTCCTTTATGGACAAAGGATCAGATAAGAAGTAAAAAGGCAGTTCTGAAGGACCAAAGAACAAGAAAGCACAAACTGAAATCTTACAAAACAGTTCTTTCAGAGACCTCTGAGATAAAAATAAGAATTTTTTGGCTCCTTATTTTGTCTAAGGTCCTTCAATTTTCTTTGTAGCATGCACCCAAGACCTCCTCTCTTCAGTTTAAATTCTTGAGTTACTGCCAAAGCCTTTGGAATTTTATAGTTATCACCATCTACCTCTGGCTTGTAGCTTCACCAAGCAAAAACAAACAACAGCAGCACCACATAAGGGAGTAACAGAGAATTTCAGTAGATCTGGTGTTTCTGTCTTCTAAACAGCAGTACATCAAATAATCACCAGAACTGAAAAAACATAACTACTTTCTGATTGTCTTTAATTCTAGTTTTTTCATACCTTTCCTTTTCTTTTCCTAGAACTGAGAAGGATTTGTAACCAAATAATGAATTTCTACAATAAAGCAATTAAGATTTGTGTCAAAGTGAAAGCAGATTTAACAACTACAATACAGAAAGTGCCGTTTCTTTAGGCATTTAAAAAAACAGTAAAAATACACTTTTTGCATGGATTTGGGAACAAACTTCCTCTCAGAATATTCAAGATCTATTCCACTATTCTATTTCTAAGGTGGCAATATACTGCACTGACAAAAGTAATATAATTAGTGCTCAGTTTATCACTGATAAAATGCTAAATAGTTGTTTATCAAAGAGAGGAAGTTACATGAAAGTTACAAAATGTTTTAAATCTCTGATAAACCATCTGTATGCAAAGGAAAAAACAACCCCACACCTAAATATGAAAATGATGAAATCATTATATACGATTTTTAAGACATAGTTAACAATTATAATAATTACAAGGTTAGGACATTTTCTGCAATTTTGACACCATACTGGAAATTCTGTATTAGATTTGATAAAACTTGAAAAGAAAACTTAAACCCACATGAAATACTTGTTTTGAAATTTAATTCACTTTCAGTCTGGTTTTGTATTTTCTGCAGCTGACACAACAGCTCATATCAACAAAACAAAATCAATTTATGTAGCTAGGTGACAGTGACAGTTGACACTTTCAATTTATTTCAGAACTCTTCATGAACTCAAACGTGATATTATACTGACTTAAAATGAAACCAGACTACTAAAGTCTTCTGTGGGAAGTACAGAGCCAGGAGAATGTTTTGACTCGTAAGCCAAGCCATGATTAGGCAGCCTAATTCTGCACTTCACCATCCCACCCCAACACACATCCTTTTAATTATAGCTTGTAATAGTAATGTTGGGCCTGTTTTATCACTATTTCACTGTAGTTTTATGAGTCTAATTCAATCAGAAGCACCACATGGACATTCTACTGAAATGAATTTTTACAGAACAGAATAGGAGTAATTAAAGATCTAAGGATAATGATATGTACTAGTGGGAGGAAAGGAAACAGGACTACGCATTCATGTTAATGTGACACAGAAATAAAAAGTGGAGCAAACCAAAACCAGAATGAATCTCTTAACTAAAGTATTTAAGGAATGTTTAATGGAAGCTTTTACAAAAAGGAGAGAAATATCATTCAAGTTTTATTCCTCAGTAATGATGCTGATTCTATAATGTGTAACTCCAGGGTTTAGGTCAAGAGAAATACATCCTGCTATACCATTTTATAGTGCAGCTTAAGTTATTACTTCCCTTATAAATCCCTCTTCATCCCACTGTCACACACCGCTCAGTTTATAAGGAGTTTCTCCATCAAATCAAGCCTATTGTACTGTTATCCACTGACTAATAATGGTGAATTAGGATGTTCTGAAATCTATTTTCTTCAACGGAGAAATCAGGTACATTGTGCTCTTCAGCATTCTATGCTTCATTATATTAACTTCTCATGCTAATTACATTATTGACTGGGGTTAATTTTAAAACGTTTTAATTAGTATGCAGAAATCACTGAACATAATTTATCTGAAAGTAACAGAGCAGATGGAAGAAAAACTTGTGCAAGATAGAAACTGACAGCCCTCCAGTAACTTGCTGGAACATGTCCCTGACCTACACATCAGGAGATTTCACCTATGTTTTATGGATGTTATTTCTATATAATCAGAATGGAAGAGAAAAAAATCCATTTTAGCCATTGTTAACTTGTTAAAATTTGTTATTAAAGCCTGCAAAAGAAATGGCACTGAACCGTAGCCACAAATTATGAATACCTACCTACCTACTGTAGGTACTCTTTTAATTTAATGCAACCGCAACAAAAGTTTTACAATCAATACATATCTGTTAGACAGTTAATGAAGTAATAATCTTTTTAAAATTACCTGAGTTTCTTTCTTATTTGTTCCTTCTTCTGAATCAGACTGGTGTTCCTGTTCATTTTCACTCTGGTAAAAGAGGTGGGAGAGGAAAAACAACTGAACTGTTGAAAGCTTACAGAGATTTTAAGGCATTCTAGACTTAATATGAGAAAATCTAAGAGCAGTAGAATTCCACCCAAATCAAATATACGGAGAATATATGGTGAAAATTCTTGAACAAGTGCATGTTTGCAGTACCAGAAAGAGAGGAAACAGACTTTTGCATCTGGCATATGAAAATCTTGCTTTTACAAAATTTCATACTGATTCCATGACAAAGAAGAGGGAAAGGGAATTGGCTGAACCATCAACTCCAACCCTTCTAATCTGACAGAGCAGTTCTTTCAATTTTAAGTACAATTTCTGACACAACTGTAATGTGCCAGAAAATGATTCTCATTCGTACAGCTTTGGGATGCATGCAATACAAAAGAGTTATTCAATGATTATTTTTTCCTTAGATTATGATTAATTCCTATTAAGTTATGGTTAATAGTATAATAGTTAACCATGGTTAATACATAAAAGTATTCTAAAGTACTTTTCAGCATTATCAGCATAGCTTAGACTTAATTTTGATTATGCTCCCAAAAGCTTCAAAATAGATACAAAGAATATATAACTTGAACAAGCATCAGTTTTTCCAGAATACTTAATTATATGCTGTATTACCCTAAACTATTCTCTATGTTAAGAATAGACTGTACATGTCGTATCACTACAAGCTAAGGCTACAGATCAGCAGTAGCAGTTGTTTACTTACATCTTGAGTCCAAAAAGAAACTCCTGTAGATCGTCGTTTTTCTCTTGGTCGCCTCCTTTCCCTTATAGACTTAGGCTGTGACTTATCTTCTTCCTTTTCTTCCTCTTTTTTGCCCCCTTCTGTTAATAACAACTTTCTTATTCATTTAAGTATGACTGAGACAATTCTCAGTCTTTAAAATGTTTACAAACATTTTTTTGACCTGAGATAAAGTAGCTAAGGAGCTTCTCATTACATACAGGGTTTGCTGTAATACACATTCCTCAGAATAAAGCTCTATAATACTATAAATATTGTTCCAATTCTTGAACATCAATTGCAAAATCCAAATTCCAACTCAGCCACCTCAACAAAATGTTTCAATGGGACAGTAATACACTACAAATTGTACTTAAAATTCACGTTCCCAATCTGTCATATAATAATTCAAACATCTGTGTCAGTAGATGTAGAAAAGTACAAAATAAGACAAGGTAATTCTTCACAATTCTATGTCAAACAAAGGCTTTTTTTGCTTGCATCAAGAATTGGATACTAAAACCCAAAAACTTTAAAAATTCTGTTAAATCCTCCTTAGAGTCCCCCATTTCATTACAGTCCTCTCCAGTCTGATCTAAGGAAGAATAAAATGGGATCCCCTTGACTACATTAATACTATATTACAGATTCCCCTTTTCTTTAAAAGAAATGCAATTGCAGTTCAAGCCCAACACAGTATCTCAGGATTGTGTTTGTTTCCCTATATGTTTACAAGTAATTTGTACGAAAAACACCCCATAAACCAAACAACCAAAACCAAACTTGCTCAAGCCAGTTACTTGCCTATTATCATGCAGCCTATTCAGTGCACTGTTCTTTTATTAAAGAAAACCACAGATTTGAGTTCACATAGAAGCATCACTAAAAATGTGACTTTAGCACCACTAGTCTTTAGAGGTAAGTAAACTGTTCAGTGTGAAGCAAGATTTAAACAGAAAAGAAGGAAACACAAATATTCCTGGTGCACATACACCTTCTCCAATTAAAGAGATGATGGTTTTACCTCTGGGCTTTCAGATGGTAACGTATTTCTCCTCCTACAGTCACAATTTGAAAAAAAGAACCTGCTGTAGCTAATATTTACCCATGAAAATAATTTCTAAGAGCAGTCTTAGAAAGAGTTTCCCAGAGTAAGCATGCATTACTGAAGAATCTTAATCCAAATTTCCGTTCATAGTAGGACACAGAGGGGAAAAAAATCAGGAAGCATATCCCTCAAGTTTAGCTCCAGTAACTTCCTCAGAAAATACAAGTCTAGGGAATATTGCAATACTTCTATGTAGTTTATGGAGATTTGTTCAATGGATCATTTAATCTGATCCTCTGTATAACATAATTATAAATTTCAATCAGTCATTGTATTAAAGTTACTGATCAGTGACTTGAATCAGTCATGTCAACTGTGGCATGCCTCTGAGACAGTACAGGAAATCACAGTTACCTGTCAACAATGTCTTCTTTTGACAGGCAAGTGATCAGGCACAACATCTCTGAGAATTATAGCATGCGATTCATATTTGCAGTAAGAGCAAAATCTCTGTGACGTCAAAGAAAAGCTTTATTTCTGACCTCTGAGTCAAACATCTGATCCTCAGCTTAAGGTTACATGAATCCAGGAAGTACTTAAAAGTATGGTTCCATAAAATATTCTGAGCTACCATTGGAAACGTCTTCTTCCCTTCTTTTTCAGCTGCTAATGAAACCTTGAGGTTCTTAAAGCATTAAAGCATTGTTCCAATCCTCCAATATGGAAGGACTGAAAAAAACCTCAGTTTTTCATCAAGTAAAATTCCTCCTTAATACCTGCAAGTATTTAAACTCTGAAATGTGGTATCTTATTATAGTTGATGTGTTAAAGCAGAAATGAAAGCATTATGTGGATACCCATGGCAGTATATTTGACATTTCTAAGATGCATCAATGGAAAACATAGATTCACATAATAATCAGCTGCAAAACACCACCAAGTACAGAAAATAATTTTCCTTTTTATGTTCAAGTTTTGGAATTTCTTGTAAAAGTTTGGAGTAAGATACATCCCCAGTGGTCTTACATATCACACCCTATTTGGAATTACCTCTAGAAGCATATGCTGCCCTTTGTTAATTAAACCAAAGAAAAAAACATATCCCTTCACAAACAGTACTCCTACCTCTCTCGCTTTCCTTTGTTCCGCTTCGAGAATAGGCCGAAGTTATACCTATAAGGCTGTTTGGTCTGTTTAGTTGACTTGAGGTTGAAAGAGAGCTAGTGGAGGTGGAGAGCGAAGAGGTGGTTGATGACGAAGACGTTGAACTTGGTCTATAGCGATGATATGGCTATTCGGCAGAAAAATGTCAAAATTAATTTACCAAGATCAAAAAATAATTAAAATATAGGATATTAAAACATTTACCTAGATAAGTAATTCTTATAATAGTAACAAAATTAAAACATCATACTTGGGAGTTAAGATTCATATGATTTCTCTACCTAAGGACACTCATCATGAAAATACCTCTTCAACAGTTCGGGAATATCTTTGTCTATAATCATCATCTTTAGTTTCAGATTCTTTCTTTTCTTCTTGTTTTTCTTTGTCTTGCTTTTCTTTCTCTTCTTTTTCTTTTTCTTCATTTTCCTGTTCTCTGGTTCGTGTGGGACGACTTCTTCCTATAGTTTTTTCAGCTTCCTGAAGATCTGTCAGTGTTACACCCTGTGAAAACAGCAGTTTTCAGCATTTCAGCAAATGTTTCAATGTATCACTCATATTAATGTAGATGATTGCTATTTTAATGACAAAATTCAGCTTAAGAATATTAAGAAAATAAGGAAATAAATTTTATCTGTATGTTCTACCTGTATGTTTTTCTCTCGAGCCTTGGAGCCAAACACCTCTTTTTGATTAGTAGCAAGTGTTTGCTGCAATGTGGTCTACCCACAGATTCTCCAGCAACACAATTCTTAGTTTTTTAAATTTAAAAGTAACATCAGTAAACTATGGAGATACAGACTTGGCCTTAACATCCATAAGGAGGATGGCTGGAGTATTTTTTTGTGCTGTTTCATCTGGGACTATGTGCTGATTATTCTCAATTTGTCAGCAGACACAAGAAGAGAAGGGTAAAGATGCTCCAGAGGACAGCGGTTGGTAATTGCTTCACTGCTCAAAGAGCGTTCAAGTACCATCTGGAGATTTTGCTACTTTCACATCCTCCCCTGTGTTAAGATTACACTGGCAATTAGTGTGAGGTAGATCTGACAGACACTGGAAAGAGCAACCAAATGTATCAGTACGTAAACTAAGAAAGAAAGGCTGAAAGGAGGCATGCTGTGAGATTCTATATTACTAGCAAGTAAAAAAACCCTCTTCCTTAGTACTCCTCCATGTCCATAGAAACTAGGTTGAATGTATTTTTTTATGTCATGGATCTTACTAGCTAGCCATATACTGGTCAGCTCAATCACATTATCTTTATTAGTCCACATACAGAAAAAAAGACTGAGAAATGGAAGTACATAAAGTATGCTAAACCTATTTCTCGAGTATTAAGTCTTCAGTCAGAAGCATAGAGCTGTTAGTTCTTAAAAAACTGAAGTGTTAAACATCTATGTAACATCAAGATACGATTACTCAAGTAAGCCATTTTAACCACCATGCAACCAAAATCTTTCTTTTAGTGGAGGAGCCTGTGCTTTCAAATTTGTATTAAATGACTCTTCAGTGATTAGAAAAAGCAACTTTCAGTACACAACAAACGTCATAAAGCTTGCAGGAAAGAAAAGGGGAAAAAAGAGGCCAAAGAGGCTTTATTTTATCTGGGACAAGCTGTTTTATACCAGGAAGACCCATCAGTTTATTTGGAGCTTTACTGGGAAATTAGTACTTCACTGTATTCAGGGAGCTACACAGGGATGATTCCATAAATGTGGAAGCTTCAATGAAACTGTACCTGCGTAGATCTTCTAGACTGTCTTGCTTGCCTGGATCTAGCTTTTCTTTGGGACTCTGATTCTTCATCCCGTACTGGAGTGAGGTATGATCTAAAGAGTTAATTACAGACAAAATTGGCAAACAATAACTTTTGTACAAATGTATTAAATGGTCAGAAAAAAACCACAACACAATGTGACTGAAAACCAAAGCAGTTAGAAGAAAATCTTTATATAAACCAGATTACATCCATATCATAATCACTTATTCATCAAGATTGCAGCCTTAGAACTCAATTAAAATACATCTTGTTTTTCCTACTTAATTAGGTTACTTTTTACCATTTCCTCTAAATATAACCTAAGGTTTTTTGGTATTTCAGTAGTCTACTAACACAGCGGTATGAGACCTCAGAGTCAATTACAGATTTATACATAAAATGTGTGTGCAACTAAACTTCTAGGCATTTAGAAAAAACAAAATGTATTGCTAATGACAAAAAAATCTAATTATAGCTGTTGTATCAGAGATTAAAAGTCCTTGAGGAGGTGGTTACCATATTTTTACATGAATCATCCATGCCTTGAAAAAACTGTGTTTAAGAATAAATCCTCATACACCCCCCCCCCCCCCCAAATAAGCAGGTAACTATAATCAAAGCCAAAAGGCTACTAGAGTAGACATATAAGGTCTCTAAACCAATATTAAAAATGAGATAAAGAATATAGCTTCTCAAACTATTCCAAAAGGATGCACCACTATATACAATCATAGCTTCATTACTAAAAGTAGTTTGTCTTTACTTTTCAAATATTCTTTGAAGTACTATTTCAAATATACTTTCTAAATACACAGTTTCAATCTGTCAATATGGATTAACCAACTTAATTTCTAAGGAAAATACTTAGCATATAATATTTCATATATAAAGAAGCTTTTCATTTGCATATAAACATACAAAGATACACACACATATATATATCTGTATAGATACAGATAGATATGCAAGTGCTGATACTTAGAGCACTATCTTTCATGTGCATTGCAGTAATTATTTCAGTTTTGCTGATTTCTCAGGTTTAATGGGTATTTTATACTCCATCAAGAATGCATCTGTAATAGTATATGACATGATCATCCCAGAGCCAGATGAAAACAAGGCATTTCAGGCCAACTGCTGATATATAAAACATATATAGTTTATGAGCATTAGTATACACACACTAGTGAGAGCAAACAAGACAGCAAAAGCCTTAATTCTAAATTTCTTGCTTTTCTAGCTCATCTGAAACTGAAACAGCATTTGCATTTCAAAATATGGACCACTTCTGAAATAAAAGATGTGTTTTGCTGATTTTGCTTTTGATGTGTTGGGTTCAGCCAAATATTGCTACGGAAAATGCTGGTTCCAACTATGGTTGTTACTGAGATGGGTTGGAAGCATGTGTGGGCACCTCCTGAATCATGGCAGAGAACTAAAAAATAATCCTCATTTCAGAGAATTTATTTCATCTCAGTTTTGGGTATGAAGACTATGGAAAACACTATCCCAAATAGGCCTAAAGTTATGAGAAATGTTTAAAAGTTATTGCTGTCTTAAGTCAACCAAAGGAATGCAGGTTTCTTCTGTACCCATGAACAGCTTCATTATCTTTGTGAACATACAGAGATGCACAAATTTGGTACAGATGCAGAAGCTGCATTTCAAAACTACTACAGAAGAAGCACAGAGATCTTGCATTTCAGCAGGAGGATTAAAGGATAAACATTTATAAATATCCAGAGAAAGAAAAACCCAAGGAAAGTTAACAGGAATTAGCAACTTTTGCTTCCATAAATAACAGGTAAGAACTCTTTACAGAAACATAAATATGCACCAATCTTAATTCATCCTCAATGTAACACGAAAAACACTGTATTTTTAGAATAACATTTATACCATCTTCTTACTCATTCTTCATACTGAACAGCTCTGAAACCATTGCATTTACAACTGCATATTATGTTTCAAGTAAAAGAGAGCCTAAATGATGCAATGAAATAAACAGAATGTGTTGGGTTCAATACTCCTTTATCAGTAGTGCCAGGCAGACAAGATGACTGAAAAAATGCTTCATTGTACCATATTAGCATACTGCCTGTGGCACAGGAGCTCAATCAGCAGCAACGTACTTGTAGTAAGTAATCGATTATTGATTTTCTTAGTTTTAATTCCATGTTTTTATACAGTTCCATTATGGGTATATTTAGGAGGACTCATTTAATCCATTACAGAAATACAAATATGAAAGTACCATATACCAGACGAGAACCTAAGGCCAGCCAAAAAAATACATGAATGGTCTCTACAGTACTAAGCTCTTACATAAATTGAGGCACATTGCTAGTTGTTTCAGTACACAGCAAGCAAATAAGACTGCTTTACATACTGCACTATCCAAATTTGTGGTATCCAACACATTCCTTGAAATAAGAAAAGAAGAAAATTTTTGTGTAAGAGCAACATTACTCTTAGGACCTTTACACACCTCCGTCTCTCCCTGACCTCTGATGTTGAGGACACAGTGCCAGAAGTAGCTGTAGTCATGGCTGTGGTAGTAGCTGTAGCATTTACAACAGATGGTGCAACAGGAACGGTCACTGCTGTAGGAACACTGTCCTTTTCTTTCTCAGTACTATCCTCAGCCCACAAACGATTTGAGGTACTACAGCATAACAAGCAGCAACACAAAAAAAGAGAAAAGGAAACAGCTAAACAATGAAAGCACTTTACTAAACAACTAATAACATGTAAATTGAGGGATGGATTTTTTTTAAAAGCAAACTGAGAAATGTCTCTACTATGAAAGCTCAACTTGAGCTGTTAAATTGAAACCATGAAGAATTAGCAGTTCGCAATAATGGAACTTTTATTCTTTGCACCCTTCTAACATTCGGTTTAATCTTTCATACCAATATGACAGTCACTTTACAGTAGAAAGCCATTCACAATTTTTGAGCCAAATTGTATAAAATCAAAGCAAATTTAGCAGGAAAGTGAAAAAATCCAGAGCCCCAGGATCTACTAAACAAGAACGCATGCACAAACATAAGCACACAACAGACCTGACAAAAAAGAAGACAAGAAGTGTGCTGGTGCTATTACCTGCTTTGTACACCTCCTGATGTAGAACCCGTTGTACTCTTTGTAGTAGTGTTTGCGCTGGCGGGCAGTGTTTTCTGAAGACCAGCAGAAGAGGTAACTGTTGATGCAGTACTTGGAACATTAGAACTAATCAAATCATCTTGTCTTCTACCAAAGGAGCCACTGAAGGAGACATGTACAATGGATGCATTTGTATTAAGTATCTTTGCTCATTAAAATATCACAAAGCTGTGAATTATCCAACAAACTCCTGCCTATGCATTCTTGTGTCTCTGTTGAGTCTCAGAAAATTCTGAGGCAAAAGAGCTATTTTCTTCACTATTTCCTTGACTAGGACTTCTAATTTATGACATCAGAGGGCAGCAGAAGTATGCCTTAGTCCTGACCATTTCTCCATACAAAGAGAAGATAAAAGAGTCTCACTGGTTTGTGTATGACTGTCTTAATCACATCTACTGAACCCCAATATCCCATTTTTAAACCGCTGTTTCACCCACACTGAATACCTCAGAAAATGCAGAATTTTACTCCACAGCTTGTCAGAAATGTCGTCAATATCACTCCTCTTATAATTTTCAACCAATTAAATGTACTGTTTTTTTTTTAATCATCCCCAGAGAGATTAACCTCCCACTCAAGCTTTTCCCTTGCTTTTCAAGTTGTAAAAAAGATACAGTGGTTTCCACATTTTTATCCATTGATTCCTCCTGAACAAATTTTATATTACCAAGTCAGGATGTTTTCCCATAACTGAATCTCAGAATCACAGTTAGGACAGACATAACATCATATTACCAACTGCAAAAGATTTAAGGAAAGATGCTTCTTTCTCATTCTGCAGTTGATAATTTTTTTCTATTACTATCAATTCTATAATGACAAAGAAAAAATAACTGTACAAGAACAACTAAGGAAATATTCTGTTAAAGCACCACATGCCATTAAAAGTGATGAGTACACTTTGTTTGAAGACTGGAGCATAAATACTGATTAAAGCTAACATGCAAAGATTGCTCTCATACACCAACTACTGATAATTTTCCATCCAGAACTGGAAATCTGTGCATTATCTTTCCTAAACCTAAAGTTAGGAAATTGAGGGTTTTTTTAAGATAGGAGGTTAACAAAGATGTAAGACGTATTATGCTGTGTATGAAACAGCCTGTCTACATGTCACTGACAACATCAATGTCAAGACTAAATGAATATCAAGTAGCATGTACATCAGCAGTACATATCAATATGCAGCTTAGCTACCCGAATCTTTTCTTTTGATCTATTCAATTTAGGTATTCATTGCTCCACTAATTCCAATGAACAACTTTACTCAAATAGCTACAATGAAACTACACAATGGAGTAAAGTCAATCATCTCTGTATCTGCAGGATAGGATTCCTTCTGCGAAAATCCTGCAAGACAGGAATTGTGCACGACTGAAAATTAATTTCATTTAGTCTGTATTCAAGTTAGTTTTACATTTGCATTCTAGGATGCTAATATTCACCATAGGGATGGCTATAATCTGTCACTATGGAGAGCAGCGCAAGACCTCCGATAATGGTCATGCAAAAACCTGAAGTCAACAGAGACAATATTTTCCCCCTTTTCTTTTCAAATACCAAGCAGAATTATTTGCATTCCGACATATAAAGTAGCTATCTTTGGTTACTGAACTAACCTGGAAAGAGTCAAATGAACCTCAAACTGAAATAAACAACCGGAAAAAGAAAGCATATAATTTTAATTATATAGCAGATGCTGCAACAGTCTTAGTAAAAATGGTGTAGCTTTTAAATCAGCAGAGCACTGCATCAGCATAAGTACGTACTTTTAAATTATTAACAACATTTCAACATGTCAGCACTCAATTTCAAACTGCCCTTATGAAGTGATTTCAGCACTTCATTTACTGTTTTCTTTTTATAATTTGTAAGCTTATTTTGATTAAAAAAAAAAGCAGCTAAGAGAAAATCCCACACCTTCTTTGATAACTTGTGTTTAATGATGTAGGACCTTCATTCAAACTGTTTTTCTTGACATCTTCCTCCCATTTTCTCCTGGTGTAGGAACTGCCACCACGTATTGAGCTAGCAGACAAGTCCCTGTAAAAAAGATTTTAGTTTAGCAAATTCGTATTAAAGAAGGCTATTCTTGATGTGAGCTGAAAAGGCATTTCACATTAAGTATTAAAACCCTGGATAACACACTTAAACAGAATCATGTGGAACACGAATAAAATGATCTTTATGGACAATAATTTCCAAGATCCTATGGAAAAATATTACAGTCATGCTAACACTGTCAGAAATATAACAGAAAACTAGCATTAAAAGAAAAACCACTAAAGAGGACATAATCATCATCAGTTACAAATTGATTTCATGGGCTTTGTCACTCTTTGATGTTATAAAAAGTTCAACAGCTGACTAGCCTTTCGAACGCATGATACTGTAGACCAGTATAAACAGGCCTGCAGTAGCCATTCCTGAGTGGCCTGCCACGTATCATTAGCTGACATTACTTTAGTCATAAGGAATTTCCAGCCTGCTGTTGCAGTTTATAGCAGAAAGAAATAACCTTGCAAAAGTCTACTTAGAAAAACCACCTTGAAAAATGAGATGAAAAAACCCTGAATTCTAATAAAAATGTCAGCTCAACATTTAAACTAAAGTTCAGACAGAACAAAAAAAAGTCTTTCACAAAACTATACCTAAAAGGCAGCCAGGTGTGCAAGGGAAAAATAAAACAATGTTTTGTAAAGATGTATTTTATGTTCAGACACCTATGGCCTTCAGAATGTACCTATTTTTGCACAAGAATTTATGCTAGCACTTTTTGCTGCAGTTGGAAATGACCTTAGAAAATGATCAAACACAGGCCAATGTGTTTGTACACCAAAATGCCTTTTCCACCCATGTCTTACCACCAAAGAAAAAGAATTCAGAGATGTGATCTGCCTTTGAAAGGTCCTGCTGTATGCCAAGTTTTTGATAATTACTGAAAGTTTCACTTTGCCAGGACACTACATACTTCAGCACTTTTGCTGTAGCACTGGCTACTCGACTGAGGCTGGAAGTCTTGAGATTTGTTAACCTAAAAACCCTGCCAGGATTCATCCTGGATGTCCATTACTCACAGTGGGATGTCACCTGCATTACACTACATCATCGATAAGCTAGACAAGCAGGTGTTCAGACAGGGAGAACAAGAACGCAGCATCTGAGTAACAAGGACAAAGATCTGGGACAAAGGCAGAAACCTCAATAATTTATTAAGGCACCTGAAAGGCAGATGGCTAAATTCTACATGTAAAGAAGGTCAGGCTAAATGTCAAAGAACTCTTATGGCTTCAGGCAAGTAAGCTGGGTTGTCTGCCATATCACACACTAGGCACAGTGCTGGTGCCTAAACAGGCGGGCCTAAAGCAGGCTTCATCTCTGGTTCACCAAAGAATACAGAAAGTTCTCATGTTGACTGTTTGGTCAGCACTGGGACTAATGAGACTGATGACCCAAGTTCACCCAATGCATATGAGGAAAAACTTACTATCGCTGATATCTAGTTTTGGAACTGTGTCTGTGAATGGTTAAGACAGGCACATGAAGGACACAAACCTCAACACTGAGGCAAAATTTAATCCCTTTGTTACAAACAATAACAGCTTCTAAGAAATAAAACCGCAATGAAATATTTATCCCAATCTTAACGTATCACCTGGTTAAGACACTTGTAGACAACAAGAGTTTCTGAGAAGATCTCAAAAGAATAAAAACTGGAATAATGATAATGTCTCTTATAAGCAAACCCCAACTGACAAACTCAGCCTTAAAGAATACAGTACTCCAGAGAATGATAAGCACAAACGAAACTCCAAACTGTCCTGTTACAGACATGCAAACTAAAGAAATCTGGTGAAGCAACACGAGAGATGCTACTTAGGGGAGCGTGAGAGCTAGAATATCCCTGTTTCCAAAAGAATTTGTCACCCAGGGACTGAACTTCAGCAGCAGTATCCTGCAAGCATAAGAAAAAACAGTATTTATCTTGTGTTTGTGCTGAAATGAACCATTCTCAAGAGCAGCAACAAAGAATCTCCTCTTCAGACAGAAGATTTATCAGTCTTACAGACAATGATTATAACAGTACATTTTGAGCAATGAGAGTATTTTCAGTTCACATCATTCAACATTCAGCTATCTAGATTTGATCCAACAAAAATAAGACATTAGGGAGAATTCTAAGTTTTGCATTATGTATTTTATCTTAACTCAAAAAAATGTCCAAGTAGAACTGTAGTAAAGGAGAGAGGTGAAAAATTAGACGTTTCCGACAACGTAAATATGCCATGGAAGTAGCCCAAATACTAATAGGTAACAAGCCTATGCACCTAAACCTTCTGTTTCTTTTATACTGAAAGCTACAGAAGAAGTATCAGCAAAGAAAGTAAAAATCTCCAAATGAAGATGAAAAGTCAACATATAAACAATAAAAAATGCTTTAGTAACTTCTGACTTTTGTAAATCATTGTTGCTGCCCAATATAGTTTTAAGAAAAAACTGTAAGAAACACCACGTTTTATTATTATCAAATGTAACAGTGGAGACCAGCACTCTAAGGCTCAAGTCAAAGCAGTAAAATGCCTTTAGCACCTTCCAGTAGCTTAAAGCTTACAACTACATACTTTGGATTTTATCTGTTTTCTCCCCTAAGATGACAACACTCATTGCCCAGTTCTCCTCTTGTCATAAAATAACACTGATTTTAAAAAGGGTTATTACAATCTACAATATCAAAAACCTTCAGGAATTGGATTACCATATAGATTAGCAAAACCTATAGAGAAGGATAATGCTATAATTTAGCATTTTCTTAAAATCTGTAAGTTTGTCAGCCACTCTAAAATCAAGCAATTTTATATTTAACAGAAATTGTAACTTCAGTCACCTGTTCTCTTTCTCATCAATGTCAGAGGTACTGGCCAGTCGTCTTGGTATTGTAGGTGCAACATATGCAAGTCGAGCTCCTTTTCCATCTTTCTCCTGAAACACACGTTTTTTATTAAGTGCTACTGATTATACTGCTGCTGGCTGGAAAATCATCATGACAACTTCAGCTGTATTTATTGTGACTTGATGATGCTAGTGATTTTTAAGCTTTAATTAAATGTCATAAGGCCTACATCAGGAAAAGGAAACTATTCACATTTTCATTCTAGTGAGGCAAATGACTCTATTTCTTTTCTTTCCTGCTTTGCTGCAGTACAGTTCCAACACTGTTTTCTGAAAGCAGCTGTTTCAGTATTTTCATATAGTATAGCATTATTCTTAATCTTGAAAACATTTAAACATTTGTACCTGAAACAGAACCACAAGTTCTATGCTAGTCAGTTACTGCCCCAAATTAGTCCTTCACTTATTTCAGTATTCATTTTTAACTACAAAACCATATTTTTGTAAATAAAAATGACCGGGGAATACAAAACCACTCCTTTTTTGTAAGGTTCTTTTAACATCACTCTCCATGTGATCCTGAAACTATCAAACCTCTGATGTCCCTTAACTGTAAAAACTACTACTAGCATTGCAAGTCCCGAAAAGGGAAAAGCCCCAGACCAATGCACCAGGTCACAACACAGGTACCTACTACTCTTTTAAAGAAAATACACAGAAACTGCATGACTTTTTGGAATGTTGGTAAAGCACAGATGCGTAGTACAGTCTTAATTCTACAGTACATCACAAACATCTATGCTAAATAATGTAGATAATTTCCTCAAAATGTTTTTTCACACCAAAAATTATTACCTTTTCTTTGTTGTCCAATGAAGAGGAAAGTCTAGGACTTGAAGCAGAACGCATAACACCTGCAGAGTCCTTTTCTTTCTGAGCTTCTTTGGAAGCAGTAATCTCTGCAAGGGCACCATAACTACCAGTTTTTCTAAGACCTAGCCTCCATGAAGCAGGAGATTCATCTTTCCTCTCTTCTTCTTTGGGAGAAACCTTGGTTGTAGATGTTGGAAACTACAAAACACATGTAAATGAATTTATATTACTAATTTTCATTACCTGCGGTAATTCATGCTCCGTGCGGAGATTTGAGAATACAACTCTTTTTAATAATCACAGATGTGTTGAATTGGTAGGGGAGTTTTAATGAGACATAACCTACACACTCTCCTCTTTAAATTAGTTAATGAGGTAAGAAATGTAAGACTGGTCAAGGTATACTACTCCTCTACAAGTTAGCTTAGAAAAACCCACACTTTGTAATAACACACTGTGATCAGGAGATGCAAACTTAGAAACATGCAAATCCAGTATCAACATTTTGATTAAATATGTTATTTTGCAACCTGTACACAAACCTGTGCACACCAGAACCTCACCATCGATTTTTCACCCTTATTGGGCACAAGAACAATGCCAGTTTTGCGCAAGCCCTGCCTCCATGATGCAGGATCTACTGACTCCGCGACAGGCATGATAGGAGGAATGAAATCATACTAAAGCCATTTAAGACAAGACAAAGATGAAGATGGAAAGAATGGAAAACAGAAACAAAAGGTTGTTTTAAAACTACATAGTTTGTTCCTATGTTTATGTTATGTTACACCACAAAATACCAAAAAGCAGTAAGAGACTTAAAACCTTAGTAACAGATTCTTATTAAAAACACAGCATGTTTAGCTACTTCAGAGACAGAATTATAGTCTGAATCAAGAGGACAGCAAAGCCTGTTGACCTAACAAGGTTCATGACCTAAATCCTCATATGGTTGAGAATACTGGAAGATTCACACTATTATACCTTTTATCTTCTTACTATATTTCATTCATATCCCCTAATCACATCCCATGCTAGCTTAGATACCAAACCCCATACCTTCACTCCCAAACTCACCGTACTTCAGTACCCTCAGACAGAAAGCAGCATTACTGAATGCCATACAGACTGAAGAAAACCCAGATTCAAGCTTAGTACACTGCATCTGCACCACTTGTGAGCAACATAGGGTTTGGCCAGCTGTGGTGTAAAAGCAGAAGAGTTAAGTGCAGTAGCACAGACGGTGCAAACCTGAAAAGGCAGGTGCAAGAGTATGTACAACATCTCACATGCACTGCTGTTTTACCTTAAGTAGTAAAACCAGTTTAAAGCCTTTCTGCTCATTGATAGGAGCTGCAACTGCTTTTCTAGATCCCATGCACTTGCTATGTTACAAGACGATTAGTCTTGATACAAATGTGCATTTATTTTGTAGCTACAGAAGACCCTCAACTTTTCACATATAGTAATAGAAAGATAACTCGTTTACTTTTAACCTGTACCTTTTAAGACAAAAAGATAAGCCATTAATTCCTGCATAATAAAATTAGAACAAACAAAATGCCAGTATATTAATGATTTATAAAAGGTTACCATCCAGCTGACAATCAAACTTACTATAAAGCCGGTGTGGCCATCTCCCCCACCCCCCTAATACATTGCCATTTAATCTCATATCAAAAAATTGTGTATATTTGATCATTCAACTCCGGAATATCAACCCACACTCCAGCTAGCAACAACTTGCTAACATCCTATTGCTGAAGATCATATAACTAAGAATGTTTTTGCATAATATGAGATGAATTGATTAGAAGGGACAAGCTCGTAAACTCCCGACCTCAAGGTGAAGTTTAGGCAATTACAAGAAAAATTCTGTGTTTGAAGTGAGGTAGAATCTACAGCATTCAAAGATAATTAAGTGCAGTAGGAAAAGTGGGTGGAGAGCACATCAGTTTAACGGCCCAATTGCCACAAATGCTTGTACTACTGAAGTGATTTCAAAAGATAAACTGTATGAAGTAGGCCTATTTCCTTGCAGTAAAATTCACATTATATATTTGAATTCTTTCCAACAAGCCACAGTTAGCAAACCAGCAAATTACTCACAATGTCTTCCCTCCCTCATGCATTTGCTACAGTTTGTATGGAGAACTTGTACCTCTTGAGCTCTGCACAGCTCCTGAGCAATGAAAACACAGCTCTCATTACAGAGAACCATAATTCCTTACTAGCCAGCAGACAATGTTTAGATGAACATCACAAGATCACCCTGGAATCTAGCTGTCTGCCCAGTCACAAAGTTCAGTGAAGGGAAACAGGAGTCATTCCTGACAGTGAGCCATGCTCACAGTTCCCTTTTTGCTCTCATGTTTTTTTGACATAAATCTTGTGCATGTCAGTCACAATGACTTTTGTAAAGCATCTCTTGGGATCAGGAAGGTTGGCCCAGCTCTATTGTACAGCATCACATAATATGATGCAGTTGGGCAATATATTCCCTGCATCTGTGACATGAAAGCATACTTTGTAAGATGAATCATCATGAGGTTCCATTGTGAATATGAAAGTAAAACTCCAATAAGCTCCCAGGAGCTAAATACAATGCATAGTATTCACCCAGCAGTACATCTTCTCTACTCTCTAAATATCACAGCTACTAGTTCTCTTCAACATGCTTTTCAACAGCATCAGTAGAGGGTCAGACCTTGGTTATGATGTGAACAGAAAAGCGACAATGACTGAGAAATGAAGCCTTACTAACTTGCTATCCAGTTTGCTTTGATATTCTGAAAGTTTGACTCGTATACCACCTTCCGACTATGCATTTTTATCTACTCTTTTTTTCATATCCTTCACAAGCAAAACTAAAAAGCTTCCTGTACACAATATGCCTTTGCTAGATGTGGTTTTGAGCTGTGCATTGAATAAAAAACACGTGTCCCAGTCCTCTAGACCATCCATGAGGTCTTAACAATACTGAAAACAGGGTTGGGACCTACAGCACTTTCTACTTCTTTCTGCTATCTTTTTCAACTTTTGCACCTAAGTACTAGCTGAGTGCTTTTAAGAGCTCCTGAAAGCACTTCAGTCATACTTAACTTCCTTAAGTGCATTACAAACACAGGCACAGAGAGACACTAGAACTGCAGTTTCTAAAAATTTCGGAGGAGTCTGCCATAGAATGAAGTTTAGCTTCAAAAAAGCAAGGACTCCACTCACTGCGCAACAGATTTTTGCTTTTTGGAAAGATGCTCAGCTGTTTCGTAGTTCTGTACATTACATCCCTGTTCAGAATCAAAACCATTCAAAACTTTAAAAAGTTGAACACAGTTTCTGCAGAAAAAGACAAAATATTTTAGGGATCCATGCATATTTTCATCTATTCACTGGATAACCCTATCCACTTTTTATACAAGGACCAAAAAGTGTCTGCTTGCACACAGAAACAGAAATCTAAAATAATGAGAAAGGTATTTTGGTTTACCTTCTTAACAGGTGATGTAGGTGCCCCCTGGACACCAGCTACAGAAGGCGCTGTCACAGCTACTGATGCTGATTGTGTACTTGTGGTATTTGCATTGTTGGTTACAGCTGCCAAGGTTTTGGTCTTATCTGCAAAATATTTACAAGATTTTAGTTTTCATTTTTCATTCACAATTTCTTCACTTCTACAAGACAGATTCTAATTTCTTTTGAACAAATCTGACAGTCAACTTTCCAAGCAGCATTTTACTATCTATTCCTTGGGGTTTTCCCCCTCATTCCCAATCTGTACCTTAGGTCCCTCTTTTTTCCATAATGGTCATGTATATAACATTTTGATTTTGTCATTCAAAAAGTGTTAAACACTCAGAGATGCAGATGCAGAAGTAAAGAACCATTCAGGTTGAAACTGACCTCAGGACATAATCTAATTCAACCTCCTACTCAAAGAACAGTTAATATTGTGTACAGACCAGGTTGCTCAGGGCTTGATGAGTCAGGTCCTGAAAACATCTAGAGACAGAGAGTCCACAGCGTTCCCAAACCATCTGTATTTGAGTATATGGCTCATGACCATACAATTTTAACAGTAGGAGGTATGCTGACATGTAACAGTTAATGTGAACTGCAGAGGATGTTGACCCAAAGTGAAATATTTTACTGATGCAGTGAACAAATACAAAAAAAAATCAGCTTACACGTCTAACTGCACTTAATGGAAATTTCTCTTTAAGCACAAGTGAAAATAAGTGGTGGCAAACTCCTAGGTCACGGTGATAAAAATGTTCAACAGGGCAATGTGGACTGATAATATGATTTAGATGATGTACAGGGAGATCTGCCAGAAATCTGCAAATGAGTAATACAGCTTTAAAATATACAGGAAAATTTATCAGGAGTGGAAGGAGAAAACTGTTTGTTTGGGTTTTTTTTACAACCGTATTCTGAAATTATTTCTGACAATTTCAGAACAGGACTGCAAGAATATAGTTGTGTGCATGACTGAGCTAAAACCAACTTCCAAAGCACCACTAAATTACTTTAAGCAAAGTAGGTTAACAAACCTGAACTGCTGAAATTTGTTTACCTCCTTTAGGAGACATATAGCTTCATATTTTGCTTCTTGGTCTTACAGACAGAAATGCATTTATTCTTAAACTGTATTCAGAATCAATGAATCAGAATGTTTATTTTAGGAAAAAAATTTTAATATCCCCATAGATTAGAAATCAGAGTTTCCAGCACTGCAGAATATTGAACTCTACTAAACTATTTTACTACCAGAATGCTTCTTAAAATCTTACAATTTTTCACTAGAAAACTGCCTTAAGCTGAATAATGGGAAAAAAGGGAAAGTACAAACTTGGAATTTAGAGATGCAGCTCTACAGGGAAAAGCTTGAAGTCTAGCTTGCCAAATAAAGTATGATAAAGCCTTGTTGATATTAAAAACCCCAAAGTTTACATAAATTAATTCTTGTGTCACAGTCATATTTTCCTGGCACGAACTATCTACTGGTAACGAAGAGAACACAGTTACCAGAATCATAGAGTTCAGGAGACATTACAGTTAGCTCAGTGACTGAGAAATTACTACATGTTATATATTTAATGTGGTTATGAAAGCTCAGTCTCTGTAAATAAGGGATGCAAGTATACTAAGGTGAAAGACTAATTACAAAGCTTGATAGATTTTTTTTTTTCAGCTTGAAATGCTGGTTTATTTAAAAATACAAAAATAATTAGGCCATTAACAGAGTTTGGTTTCACAATTTATTTTTATTTCTGCCTACATTAAATATTTATGATACATTGGTTAGCTCTAAAATCCCTCCTTAGTCTTAACTTTTCAGATAAAAAAATTTGTAAGAATGTTCAAAAATAACGACAGACGGCTCAGGGTTACTTATTTAAAGAAGTATAAAATATTAACAAGGTATTTCTAATGACATTTATGCCTTTGTATTGCATTGCTGCACTGTAATTCTAAAATTCTTTATCAGGATTCAACATACATCTTGAAACACAAATCACCTGATATTTGTTTTGTGATTTGGAGGAAGGTTCAATGCTGTTCTTAAATCACTACTTGAAGATTCTGACAACTGTTCAAGAAAAAACCCATATCAATTCCACTGAAGATAGAAGTACATAATATGTGTTTCTTTGCATACAATTCCAAACTTTTCAAAGAGAATTCCTCTTGTAATACAGTATATAAAGTAACAATTAACGCTAAAATATCACATTTAGAAGTTCATTTCAGTGCACTCTGAAAATAGATGCACCATTACTTTATGAATACCTGAGCCAAGACTGTCAGATTAATTGGTAATTACTTCAGGAAGGCAAGAAAAAATGAGAATGTTTGCACTTCTGCTTTTCCAATCTCTAGACCAAGTTCCACGAGCAAACACTGCTATGAAGCCTTCATTTCTGATTTGATCTTCAGATTAATGTTTTCTGGTGTGCTACTTAAGGCTTATATTATTCCAACTATTTAATTCAAAGTGTCAACTGTAGCCAACCAAATAAGTAGACTAATAGCTTTAACCCAAGTAGCCATCAGTAAAGACATCTGTACCAGTACAAACATCTGTTTAACATCTCTGTTATAACTTGACTTCAGATATAATATAAACTTTCTTTAAAATAACTGGAAACATAGTGAAGTGCAGAAGAATAAGTGAAACTTAAGATATTTGACTTTGGATCATGTGATGTTAAACAAGTAAACTTACAGAGTAAAAACTTAATGAAAGACAATACTCCGAATAAATACCTGTCTCTGCTTCGGATTCTGAGTCATCATCCTCTTCCTCTTCACTAGAACAACTGGATTCATCTTTCTTCCCCTCTTCCTCTTCATCTGCTTTTTCTTGCTCCAAAGACTCTATACTAGATGCATTCTTTTCTTGCTCCATAATCAGTGTCTCTTTACTGAGTTTGAAAAGAAAAATACTTACTAAGTCCTGGAAACATTACTAAAACCTGTCAAGCAGGATTTTGTGACAGCTTCTAAAGGTGTCTTTTTTATTAAGAGATTACATTTTTTTTCCTGTTTACTTACTTTTTGAATGTTTTCTGTGTCTGGTTATTATCCATGTTGGCTGTGGACTCAATTAGGGGAGATTTCTTTTCCCGTTTTTCACTATGAAGCTTCAAAACATACAGAATGATGTAGTTAAATTGATAGAATGGTATCAGTGTGACAAAATTACAAACGGAGAGCAATCTTCTCTAACTACTACAAACACAAGAGTATGTATAAGCTTTCAAAGTGTTAAAAGTTCAAAACTCTAATATCTCAGAAACTGCTATTTAAAGTAAGATTCTCATTGCTGATGCTTCAGATGAAAAAATGCCCACTGGACAAGGCAAGCAGAAAAGCACCTTCTTGCTTTCAAGGCTTTTCACCGTAATTGACCGAGTAAGGGCATAAAAGAACTTCTGAGGTTACTGTGGCATTACCTGAATTGAAGTTCCAATTCAAACCTTTATTTTTAACCTATATACCGCTCTGAACTGTATACCACAATCATGTATAATAAAGTAAAATATATATATGTCTTCATATGAAAAAGGCCTACCAGATTCTGCTTCTTTTGTAATTCTTCTAAATATCCTAGAATATCTTCATCTGCCACATCAAATGCTGTCTGCCCCTGGAGGGGGGGAAGAAGTAAAACACCATCACTGTACAGAAGAATTTAAATGAAATGGATTTTGATGCCTTATCACATGATGATTCAGGTAAGGAGCACATTCAGAGAAAGAAAGTATAAGCCAAGCTCTATCACAAACTGTTAGTCTGCCAGTAGTTGAAAACAATTTTGCAATTTTACTTTTTTGGGGTAACTGAAAGAGAAATATCAATACCTGATGAGCAAATATGTTTCTTAAGAGATAAAACAAGACTTCAGAAAAATATTGCTGTCCTTTGAAAGAAAAAAAAACCAAAACAAAACTATCACTGAAAAGGGATCAAAAGAATATGATTCTCACAATATTAGTTTCAAACAACCATTCCAATGGCAGTTGTATGGATGGATCCTGAGCAGTTCATTATCCTGTCCGTTACAGGCTACTATATACAGCTTGATTTTTTAAAGTTTCAATTATCTAAGCAAGCTAAACTAATCTTGAATAGTCACGTTTTCATGTTTTTACAGTAAAACAGTATTTTACATTCCATTTTAGAAAAGATCTGCTACAACCATTTCTTCTTGCCTCCCTCTTTACTCTATGACTTACATGGAACATGTTCTTGAATAAACAGACCATCATGCTATTCACTAACAGAGTAATGCTGTCAGCTGGAATTTCTTCAGCTTGCCATATCTGACATCTATATAGTCATCACAATTCTAGACTAGACCAGATACCCACAGGACACGAGATTCTATCTTTAAGGTCTGAACTGGTAAAGATTTCAAAACTCCCCTTTCTTCATCTCTACCTGAAGATGAAAGGGCTGAAGCTCATACAGTTCCACAAAGAAAGCCCAACTTGCCTTGATACTGCAATAAAGCATTTTGTATTTGAAGTTTTCATTCAAATACAAGAGGGCTGGAATCTAGGCAAAGTCCTAGATTCACCTACACAGTATCAACGCAGCTGCATCAACACACTAGGTGGACATACTAAAATGTTGGGAGTATCAGGACAAGATCAGCCAAGTAAGTACTTCTATACAATAACTAGCACTAAAGACAGAGCTGTCATTTAAAAGTGGTCACAGCCACTTATAAAAATAAAGGTGTTCATATTTGTCTCTGCTTATTTGAGTTTCTTGAATGTTAACTAAATACAAATGTATTCCTAATACACTGTGAAGGCTATCAAACAGTTAGAAAGGATGGACCTTCAAACCACTAATTTTCACATCCATGTAAAACCTCTGATCATACAGCAGAAGCACGTGCACCTTTCAACAAGGATTACCCAAAACAGCTTGAGTTCCTCTGACATGTGAACTATTCCATCTAGTGTAACACAGCACTAGCCTGGAAACTAAGCAACAAAATTATGTCAACTTCATATGTGCATTATGACTACAGTTTTTAATCCAGATTTCTAGTTTTAGGTAGCTATTAAGTGAATTTATTTCCAAAAAAAATACGAGTTAGACCTACCTTGACCACAAAAAAATCACTTTGCAAAAAACTGTTGCAGTTGGAAGGTTATATCTAAATGCAATCCATAAAAGTGCTTTAACCATAAAGGCTAAGTTCTCTAAGCTGCTAAGCACCTGCATCTAAAACCAAATACAGGAATTTTTAATCTTGGTATCTCCAAAACCAAAAATCTTTATCAGCTTACTTAAGAACACAACAGCCAAAATGTTCCTAGCTTGCACAGACAAGCCCATATACCAAATACAATCACTTGTATCTCTCTATACCTCCTTTATTCTTATTCTTGCATCAGCTGAGTTGAACATACGTTCATGACAGTGCTCTCTGGAATACCACCCTCCACATTTTTACAACCCCAGTAAAATAGTCTACCAGGTAACTTGATAAACTGGCTTTAACTGCATCAGCTTTTGACTGCCTGATACAAAATACAGTTGTAACAGCTGATATAAATAACAGTTCTATAAGGATTATACAGAAACAGTTGAAGCCATTTGAAATTCAATTCCAGATTTCACTGTTTTTATTACACAAAACCTCAATTTCTAAGGAAAAAAAAAGTCAACAAAGACAAAATGTTACACAGCAGTTTCTGCCCTTACCTAAATACTTGCCAATTTGTGATCTGCATATGCATATTTCCCTAATTTAGTTTTTAAAAGTTTATGAAACAACTCAATGAAGAATCCATCTTAAAAGTTGGCCAGGTAATTTACACATGCAGAACTGACAGAAACTGGAAGAAGGAATCTATCTGTAGAACATACTGCAAAGAGAATAAAGAGAGCTTCAGCATTTACACAGCTGAATGAAAAGGTTTGGATCCTTGTGATGCCTATGTGAATCATGAGTATATTTGTATCTGCTGGGAGCAAGATGTTGCAAAGCCAGCAAGCTACGCAGGCCTTTGAGTAAGAGCTGAGGAAATACAGCTTAGGAAGCACTTAAGTTATGCCTAGGGAGTCCAGAGAGGCCTACAAATTTCTCCCAGTGCACCCAACCTGTATAGCGGTTAGCATACAGTATGCTAACACAAGCTGATTTTCAAAGTCACTGATTTTGTACCTCTGAAAGGTCAACAAACTCATTCTGTTTTGAATTTTCGTGTCAAATAATTCATGGATTATTTAATATAGAACTAAGCATAAAGTGGGCCTAGAAATTAATTTAGATGATCAGAGAATTTAGTTTTGAACACAAACATGCTGTTTTGACAAAACATGCATTACATAAAGCTCCACATACAGTAAACAGCAGTTTATCATCACTTTTCTTACCCTGGCTTCTAAAGTCACTTTAGAGACCAGAACTTTGTATCTTGACAAGGATTACATAAAAATCCTACCACTTTGTTGACAGCCTCCATATCACAAAGGTTTTCCACTAAAATGCGACATGCTTCTTCTTTACCCCAGTGAGCAGCAGCATGAAGTGGTGTCCAGCCATCATAATCTTTAATATTTACATCGTAGCGAGCCTGTATTAAAAGCCTAAAGAAATTAGAAGAATTAGATGTTGACACTGCTCACAGAGATCAACGAACTGTCATAAAAGCAAAAAGTTATTCTATAATAACATCCTTCTCCTTTTTATCATACATATTTTAGTTGGGCTATTGACAACTGATTAATTTTATTTCCTTACAGAAGCATTTCCCTTTTCATTGTTCAGTAGGTATATGCATTTTTAAGGAAAATTCAAGAAAAGTAGCCTTTTCCATTTTCCTCTTTATTCACTTCCTCTTCATTTGAAGTCCACAGTTAGCTATTTTTCTCCATGTGCAGTAATAGGGAGAACCCCTATTAAGGAAAGGAAAGCTGTAAAATGTCAAAAACTGTTGGATACAATGTTCTTACACAGTAAATTATTAAAACCTCCTCCTGTTCTAAAATTAGTTGCTTGAAACTTGCACCTCCTCCTGTCAGTAAGGTGTGATGTTGTAACAACCTAGCGGTCATGTGCTTCAATTGCTCTCTGAGAGGGAGCAGAGCTCCTCAGTTAGAGAATCTGCTTTTCAGCCTGCATTTGGCACACTTAAATTCACCATGGTTGAAATGTGAGTGTCCAAGTGACAACGGACACATACCCTGACAGTTCTGTGTAAAGGGCTATCACCTCTCTGAAACACTGACCGTAATTATAAAAAAATCCCGTAACTGTGAAGGACTCTTCTCAAAAATTTCTCTCCATTTCTCAAGAGCCAACATACTTATAGTAATATCTTCCAGTGAGTCAACTTTCACACATACTCAGCTGCAAAGTCTTGCATCCTACACAGAGCACACGTTTTTGATAATGCGAACCCATCAAGAAAATTGCCTGCACATACATTTTTCACCTCCTAGCAAAAGTACATGGACTGCACTACAAAGACAGCTAAAAAAATTCCCTTATAGACACAAGCTATCCTAAATCAAAAATCATTATTTTCCAGCAGAATAATTTCTTTTCAGCATGTTGAAGCATCAGGGTTTTTGAAGCAGATTTCCCATTCAGTAAATTGTATGTAACAGTTATAATGGTTAAAAAAGCACTGTCATTCAACTTCTGTGCTGACAAAACATTATAAGGTTCCGCAGACCTTAAAGGTGGTAATACACAGTCAAGGTGTGTCCCCATTTTCATTCATGTTACAATACCTATCTGTTCCTAGGACTGCTAAAGCAGTCAAATACATTTACAATCACAGTAAAGCAATGTGTTATTAAGTATGTTTTATTTCAATAAAAGCAGAACTTTGATGAAAACCCAATTAAACCTCTGCTGCAATATAGCCTTGTATTGTATTAATGAAAAGGTACCTATGAATTATGGGGACTCCAAAAGCCTGAAACTTTTCAGGAAAGATTTCAAGTGTTATGACTCAAATAACAGTATCAAAAAGCCCCAAAATTAAATTCTCTGTTCTTTAGGTGTAAAAACCTTTAGTCTGGATTACAAACTGCTTTATGTATGCAAATAAATAAGGTGTTTTGAAAACATGCATCGATCGGAACCCTAACCGTCATTATGAAAAGGTATTAAGCTTGTTTACACGGTTGGCTTTAGAAACTGGGCAATTTTTTGGTCAGCTTTCTCCTTTCAAATAAGTATTCAGGCTGAATATGTACACTGTGCTTATATTTTGAATTATTTGAGGTAGAAAGCTAACAGTAACATGATTTGATTTATGAGCGCTTGAAAACATAAAACCAAGCTTTGAGGAAAAGACAGTTCTAGAGGTTGCTATTTTCCAGCAAGTACTAAAAGTCAGAGGCGTTCAACTGTATCAATTCCAAGCAGCATTACATCAACAAGACAATCAAATTTGAAAAATTCCCATTTAAACCATACTTACTTTAAGACTTCTGTATAGCCCTTCGCAGCAGCTACATGAAGTGCTGTACCACCAGATTTTGCATGCCTGACATCACTTATATGGCCGCTGTTGAGCCACTGCCTTGCATCTCGTAGCATTACTCGTTCTTCTTCTTTTCGAGCTGCCTCTATATCAACCCCTAATTCAGATAGAGGGGGAAAAGAGAAGACACAAAATATTTTACTTCCAATACTTCAATTCAATTATGAAACAAATCTTGTACCATCTTTATGTGATACAACAACAGCTGAACAATACGAATAATGTTCACAATTAGATATTAGTATCTTTTGAAGATGAATTCCAAGAGGCTATGAAACATCCGTTACTGCATGACTCTTTGCACGCATAATGGAGTTTTTCCCAAAAGAGAAGGGGAGAATGGGGAGGGGGGAAGGAGAAGAAAGCTAGCAGAACCGGCTCTTCAGTTTTAAGAATTTCTACCATCACAGTAACAATCAGTACAGTGACCAATTAAAAAAGGAGAAAAAATATATTTTAACCTTCTAAGCACCAAAATACAAGTCTAGTTTGATGTGTCTGTGGAAGGTAGAAAACAGCTACAGTTTTTTATATGGGAAGAGGAACAGCCTATATTCTCATCAATGATGATAAGAAAGATGGAGCTATATTTTTGGTAATTTCTACAGAATGTCTTGTTTGTCTTCTATCACTGTGACACATAAACCTTGCACTCAAATAACCAAGCCTTTGGAAATCTCCCTTCGTACCTCGAGTAAAAAACCCAAACCACCAAAAACTTTTTATAGTACGTCTCACAAAAAATTATCACACAGTGATGAAAAGGGAGGAATGCAATATAACATTTACAAGTATGCACATCAGGTTAAACAGACCAAACAAAACCCAAGACCTTGAACAGGCAAAGCAAAGTCTGTATGTGCAAGCATGTTTTAATTACTAACACACAGACTGACCTAAACAACATAGCAGAGAGAGGTCTTGAAGAGAACTATGCATGAGCATTGCTCTACCTATGCTGCCTGAATGGTGACAATTCTGTGAGGAAAAGCAACTTAGGAATTGTGACCATCAAGAGCTCAAACTGTACCTGGCTTGACCTCTAACAAAATCAGTGCACCAACCTTCAGCAAAATTATTTTATGTCTATGATTTGTCTAATCTTAGACCCTGGTATGCAGAGACTTGGGAAAAATGTACTGTTCTTCTGTACTCTGAATTTTTAATTTCTCATGGAGCAAAGCATTAACTTGGATGTAATAAAAGCAAGCGATATCCAGAAACAGGTATTGATGGACTAGATAAAAACACAAACCTTGACAGTAGCCCTTATATAGCCTCTACAACAAACGATTTTTAAAATACTTAAGAGAGAGACACTCCTTGACTCAGATCTAATTGTACCTTCTTTCAGTATTCCCTGCTAAAGCTTCATCTGCCCCCAGCCATTTTTCTCCAAAAAACTTCTTTCTATCACATAACTCATAACTGCCCAACTAATCAAGTACAACAATCTACGGCAGACCACAAGCAAGACTATGCAAAGCTAGAACATCTATTTTCAAAACTATTCTACGTAATTATTTTGAATTAATTTTCAAAGTCTTTATAATGAACAGCAATTTCAGGTTCTAATGTCTTCAAACAGCTAACGGATGAAGTGGCCTTCATAAAAGAAATTATTAATACCATAAAATGAAAACATAGATAATATAGAGATGATAATATGTAGTGCAGTGCATCATTCTACTAAGTAAAATGTGGCAAAAGAGATTACAATAAACAGATTCATCAAGCTTTTATTAATCCACTGGCAACTCGAAAGCCAGAGCAATGAAGTGGCAAACTGAAAGTAATTACATTGCCACTGCTGAAATATACTTAAGGCAGCGGATAGCAGACTGATAATACATCTATTATGCTAGTATGAATTAGTATTTCACAGATGCTGTAATTCCCCAATTATAGGGCAAGAAAAACCTTGAAAATTACATGCCTGAACCAAAATTTCCTGAAATGCAGGAAGAAGGAATGTAATTATTATATGCTTTTGGAAACATAACATGCAATTTGTTAGGCTTGTGGTAGCATACAACAGTGCTATAACAGAGTTCACTTCTTGATTATTCTTCTTCCACCAGTTCATACCATAAAAGATATTCCCTATCTACAAATATGTAAAAAAACCCCAAGCAACCCAAAACAAACAAACAAAAGCAAACAAAGCAAGACCAGTTGGAGAAACAATTCTGTTCTCTAAGTAAATCTGGTAAAACTTTATGCTAAGGACAGATGAAAAGATAAAACTTTACTATCATAAAATAACCGAGGCAGGTTATATTTTAAGCGTTCTAAACAGCTGACTGAGTTCCTAGACTCATCCACTTAAATGACTAAAGCAAGCATTTCAATCCTGGCAACTTAATAGAATTAAATTTCAGCAGAAACTGATGAAAACCCATAATACAGAGGCAAGATGCAGGAAGATTCAAAAGACTGCTGAAGCACTAGGCAGAGAAAAAAGCCAAAAGCTACTCGTTTTGAAGGAAGCTGCGGTAAAAATTGAATACATGGAAGTTTCTAAAATGGGCTCTCTCAAGACAAACCATGACTGAATAAGTTTTACGTATCTAACAATCTTTATAACTCTAACAGATATGAAGAATAGAAACCATGAACTTTGAAACAATGTATCAATAACCACATATTCTCATTTCACTGGGAGGCTCCTATATATGGATGTGTGAACTACTGCAAGTTAACTTCCTTGGGCCTTCTGCATCTGCATTTCAGAATGACACAGCAGTGCAGATCAGCAGACCCTGGGAAAATAATTCTCTAGAGTACAGTCATTTACATGTCAGTGTTGCCTGCAAAACACCACCACGCAAATAGTTTATATATCATCTGCTAGTCACATTTATGGCCATCCCTTTTTTGCAAGCCCAAGGTCTTACTGCGAATTGTTATCAAGAAGAAGTAACCTTCTCCACCTGAAGAATCCAATGTAAACTCCTCTATCAGTGTAAAACTTCTTGTGTATGGCTCAGGAAGCACTTCTGTATAAAGGAAAAACAAAGGAAAAACACTTCCCAAAGCCTGATCTTGAACTTCTAATGGTTAAAATCTAAGCATACTTTCCAGGTATGCCTGCAGAAGCAGCTAATTATGCCAAAATAGCAATGCTTTTGCAGGGAAAGAACTAATACTGAATACAGACTTCTATCAGTATCACAGTCGACTGCACTTCTGAAGCCCAAATGAGATGCAATGGCTGCAGAGGAGTAATGGCTGCATCAATACATTATTTTTCAAGGCAGAAAATTTCTGATCATATTTCAACAGAAGAAAGTACGTGAATCTTGCCAATCTAAATAAAAAATCCAATGCTAATAACTGGCAGAAAAACGGGAATTAAACTGTGTGTCGCAGAAGAAAAGCTGCTCTCTGAGATAAGCTAAATACATTTCCCATTATTAACCACAGAAAACGGAATGTAAACAGCCTTTATTCTACCTTGTACGGTCCTTTCTCCTTGCTTTTGTTTTCCAGACTCTATTAAGGTATCAGGGAAAAAGCAAACGCTCGTCATACGTTTCCAACACTTTGTTCATACGGCCCATAGATGGCAACGCGCTGCCTCCCAGCTCTGCTCCAGCCGCAACATTACTCGCTCACGCCACCAGGACACTTAACCTCTCTGGCACTATAACAACTTCTTAATTCATTAATAATTTATGGCTAAATGCTTTCATTTTTTCGGATCAACAAGTGTTATTCAACAGTTCCAAACAGGTTTGGAAGCAGTTGTGCTGTTCGGTGAGCATTTAATGAAATTCAGCATAAATTCAAATGCTGAATCATTGTTTCAGGACTCTTCAGCCATATAAAGGCATGTTTTATAGATACTGCCTGGAAGATCGACCCACTTTTTACTTCATGTAGCGAACGTTTATATACAAATGTAATAGTTCACATTTTATCCACATAAACAAAGCTGAGTTAAGCAATACATCTGAGAAAGTCTTGCTACATTTACCTATAATTAAGAATGAGAAACGCTTGCTTCTCCTTTGAAAAGGAGAACTGATCTCCCTGATAGTTACTGAATAGCTACCAGACTGTATCATGAACTCCTGATTCACCTCATGTCACCTCTCCCCACTAACTCACCTCCTGAGAATGTTTCCTATAATTCAAAATAACTGCTTAAGCAGTTAAAAATAATTTTAAGAGGACATCTGATGATAAACAGCTAAAAATTTGCCTGAAACCATTACAGTTAACCCTACTCAAGACCTGAGGAGAGGCAACATTAAAAACCGGCCAGGGCTAGCTGGGACTAAAGCCCCATCTCTCTCAAGTCTCCTGATTTTCACCCGTGCAAATGAAAATTTTACACTACTGGCAAAAGACATCTTCCACAGCTACGACATATTGAAACACTGCTGAGTAGAAACAAAAAGGATCATATTGAGAAACTCTAAATAAAAATATTTTCAACAAAGATAAAGAATTATGTGGATTGCGGTGGCATATATATACATGGGATTGGCACATGATAAAGACACCAGCCATACCGAGAAACAACAGAACCGGTCCTAAGAGAAGTTTTTTTGTTTAACACACAAAATAGTTAAAACACGTGGTATGCAAAGAGAAGAGCTGTTCAGCACTACTTTGGAATAATTTCCATAGAACACCTAGTTTTGCTATTTGTGAAGTGTTCATAACTGTGCCAAAATATCTTTATACCTTATGTGAGCATGAATGTAATTTACTAAGCTAGCTTTTAAGCTTAAAAAACATAATTAAGCCAATACCTGTCCTTTGAAGATCAGGGTAGAAAAATGCTTATCTTACTATTGGGAGTGCTATCACTTACAGGATACCTAGTCCATTAGTTCAAGATTACTGCACAGTCCATTTTTTAAACAGGGTCCTGCAACATGTTCAACATATTGGACATGTGGCCCACACAAGGACACATGAAAAGATGCCTTAACCAAAGATCACAATTCAGAAGAGTTGCATATGAAGATCAGACTAACTGAAGAAAGACAGACATAGGATAATAATACTATAAAAGCTCCCTCATGTCTAATACGGCTTACAACAGAACTTGTAAACCAAGAAGATTAATTTGGATCAACCAAGAAGATTAATTTGGATCACTGACCCCCTCCTCTCTAGACAGGTCAGTTTTTGGAGTCTGAATGCTAAAATAGGATGAGCAAACACTGCAGAGCCTTCTTTTTATTAAGCCTGTAATGTCACATAGATCTGAACTGTACTGTATTCTAAATTTACCTCTGTGAATTTCGTGTTTCCAGAGGCTCCCAGTTTTTGTCCTGTAGTAAGACATATACTTAAAATATAATTCAATACCTGTAAAACTTGGGCATAAATACAAACTCATGATCTGGAGAAGACTGAATAGCTGCACAACTGGCAGGCTCCATTTGAACTTTCCCTATAAAGATAGAAAGTCTGCAAAAGCAGCAAAAAGGCTGAGCTAACATAGTGATTCTCCTCAGATTTCTACCAAATGTCATCACTTAAACATATCTGGAATCACAATGAAATGGACTGATCTTTCCAGGCCATTTTTTTGCCACCAAATGACTCTGACTGCTGACACCAGTATATAGGAAGCCACATTCACAGCATTAACTAAGCAACACAAAAATTAAACTATAATGAATGCATGGATAAATACACATGACAAACTTGCAAAGCAAGCATATTACAGAAAATGTATGCTTAATTTTCACACTGCATATTTTACCTATACAGAGTAAGATATTTTGGCACCCAGGTTTGTTTATTCAAAATCAATAGGCTGATATTCCACTACTGGCAACACTGAGACAAGGCTGATAATTCCACAGATCCCACAATTAACCTGCATTATCAAAACTGCAGAATTGCTTTATTTCATATGACGACCAATGTTAAAGCTAGAGGGGTAATTACATTGAGCCACATGTACAGTCAAAGATGAAACTGTCAACAGGCAACAGTGTTAATTCCACATTAAGATAAACAATTAAATTCCAATTTTAGAGATATAACTTCTGTAGCTACAACATATACACAATTAGGCACTTTTCAAGTCACTGTAATGGCTAGATAATTCTGTATATAATATTAACTTTATATGCAAGTTAAGGATGCTATCAAAAGCACACGATTAAAACCTTACTGCTGAGACAACTGTCTCATGATTTACTAAGGTATACACTAAAGTTCACATCCACATTCACACTCTTTCTATACCATTCCCATCCATAGTCATTAAGTATTTCCTATGATTTCATCCCCTTAATTCTTACAACCTCAGACACAAATTCTGAAGGATGCTGTATGCCTTCTTCCCTGCTTCTGTGAAATTGAAACTACTAAGTAAGTGGTCTAACAGCAAAATGAGCTAGGTAGAATACATACATATAAATATGTATGTGTGTGTGCAAATATATATACATACGTATATAAAAGTAAAATTATATACATATATATAACCATAGGCATTAGTGTCCTGTTAAGACCAGGAAGGCAGAAATGCTGTCAGGGATGTTCAGTGTGGTCACAGTCTGTAAGACAGCATCCAGTTCCTGTTCTGCACAGAGGGAGGTCAAACCACTCTGAAGCACAGCCCTAGCAAGTTTCTTCTCACCTGACATGATGCCTCGTTCAACCAATTGGGTTATCTGAGAAAATAATAATATATAAAATAATAATATAATCTGGTCATCTGAGAAAGACCAATTTTCTGGAAATCCTTTAGTTAGTCAGCAAGCCAACTGACAAAAAAATGTAAAAGAAGAATGCTTGGAAAACAGTTTTCCATAGCAAGTGAAACACAGTATTTTAAAACAACCTGAATTACCCCTTTAGAAACTAATAGGTGCAGTGTGGGTATATCTACATTCTTCTCAGACTTGTAAAGACTGTACCACAGTTTATTGTAAGCTTTAAATATGAAATATGTAAACCACACTGAAATTTTCAGTGAATTGTAACATTTAGCTTAGGTCGCCAATGCTAACTTTACAAACGTGCTGTTCAAAACAAACTTGTAAAAGAATAAATATTAGTTTGCAATGCTGAATCTGCATTGTAAAAATGTACATAAAACAGCCATATTAACAATTTTTTTTTTAAAGCATAACATATAAATAAGAGATTTTGAAAGGGTTCCTTTCCTAAATAATGTCAATTTTAGGAAGAACTACTGCAGTCAATTATGACAGCACATCAGTAAAGTCAAACATTTCAAAAACAGCCTTCAAGAATTTAAGCTGAGGCACATTCTAGAAACAACTCTTCAGCAAAGATTGACAGTAATGTTAGAAAATAGAGCAACAACTGTATTCTTTCCAAACTAATTAAAATAGACAAATGGTAGTACAGACAAAAAAATAGTCAGAGCTATCTAATCTGAAATTCTTCGGGTGTTAACTATAAGAACTGTTAATCAAAATTCCATTAACACTACCAAATAAGTGAATCAAAGCCTTTGTCAAATCTACAGTCTATTTCTTTATATCATTAGGTATCTCATATTTCCCTATCATGTCATCTGTTTTCTTTTTACCCTTTACTTTAGGTATTAAATGGGTTTACCATACAAATGAGATCAGGGCAAAGCCTGAAGCAATTATTAGTTTACTTTTAAATTGTGTAAATCTGTCTTAGAGATACAAATTCAATGCTACAAAAAGTAAGTTTTTCAAGTAGGAAGAAGCCTTTTAAAAGGTAGGCAGGGGTCTAGAAGTAATGGAGATGCATTCCCCTAGCACTCCAACTGAAAAGGCTCCACGTCTTCCATCTGATTGTCACTTTCCTTCAATTTATAATGTAACTCCTACCACATCACCCCAGTTCTTGTACTGGGAGTTTTTCAATGACAGTGTATTTCTATTGGATTCAAGATGGTCAGTCAGCAACAACTGAATATTCTTTCCTCTGTGGAATGGAAAAAAAACAGAAAGTTTCAAAGACTTTTCACTGGAAAACCCATGAAGATTGGAACATGGAAAACAGCAGTGTAAGGAGAGGAAAAAAAGCAGGCAAAAATGAATTAAAATGTTTTTCCAAAGCCCGGTTTCTCTTGTAAAGACATCTATGCCAGTGATAGCAATTTTATAGCAGCATAAATATAGGTGCATAAATATAGGGTATTCATTTTCAACAATACTGCCAGAACTTGTTATCTATCCATCATCTGTACCATGAATGCTCACCTACATAGTGTTCTCAGAAGAGTACACAAAACCAGAAGGAACTTAAAAGATTCATGATACATTCTCAGGCCTAAAACAAATGCAATCTAGGAGTCCTTATCCCAGTGAGTAGCTTCAGACATTTGGTATTGTAGAAGGGCATTCAAAAGGTCAGACCTAGACACAATGGGTCATTTATGTGGTGCACTACAGTTGTTTACTCTTGTTTTAGTTATTATTAGGCTAGAATACCTAGAAAATGGGTTGAGCACTGTACCGTGTATTGAAAATTCTCTTTAGAAAACAGAGTCACTTGAAATTTTTTAATTTAGCATTAAGTTTTCAAAAATATATTTAGTGTTGAATACACAAAACTATCTTTTCATATTCCAAATTACCTTGTCTATTTACTTCATTCTGAAGCAGCTCTTCCATTGCCTCTTCTTCAGCAATATCTAATGGAGTGTCTCCTTCACTATTTACAGCTCCTACATGTGCTCCTTGACTAATTAAATACCTGCCAATAGAAAAAAGAAAAACAAACCGTAAGCAATATAGTAAAGCTGATGCAAAAAAAAACACAACCAAAACCAAAACAAAACAGCAGCCATGGGTATGGGTATATACACACATACATACCATTAATATAAACAACTATATTAGGTATACATAAAAACCATCATGACTGCCTGAATATCTGTATGTCTTTTCATCATAATTCCCATTAAAACAAAGAGCTCCCTGTTTGCTCTTCAGTTTGCCACAAAGACTCCTGACATATTTAAATAAATATTTGCAAGAACTGAAAGAAGAAAATGGTTAGATGAAGAACAAAAGCAACCACAAGGTGAACATGGTTTGAATCACCCATTTCCATAAGCTCCTCCTATTAAACCACTCTTCCTAGAAATTCCAAATTCAGTGGCATATTATGCTTCTATACTTTGCCAGAATGATGACACTTGGTCTCTGAGGCAGCTTCATAAAGGTTTTTCCAACCTACTTGATTCTATGACTCTGTGAAAACCAGAATGTCCCCTGCTCCTAAGTGTTCATAAGGTCAGCTTTTGGTGGGGAAGAGAAGCGAGAGGGAGCAAGGAAGCAGTATTTCACACTATTCCTACCCTTTGAGTGTTTTCTTACTTAAAGTGCTACTGTCTCGGGAGTCAACAATCCAGACACAGTGGAAATTATTTCTGAATTTCCAAATAAGTTAAATAGATTAATGCCAACAGTAAGTCCACAAAAGGATTATTTCACTGCATTAAACCATAAGCCTATGAAGTTACTGAGAACCTACACTTAATACATAATCTGTTTCCAAGTAGACAATGAACAACAATTAAAACACTAATACGGATCAGCCTTGCACCTTCTGACCGTAACATTTCACTTCCCTAACAAATGTAACAGTTTGATCCACAACAGAACTCAACACAAGCAAAAAAATTGCAAACATACCTCCTGTCATACAGACCTTAATTTACACTTTCCATGTATTTGAGGAAAAAATATCAGGAAATACTTAGACCAGAAGAACAAGCTACCCTTTTGGTAACAAGTGTATGAAAAAGTGCTTTCTTAAAGCTACTATTGCAGAATGCCAAATTATTCAGAAGCCAATCACAGCATTAATCCAATACTAATACAAATGTTTTAAAGTATTTCTGCTTAGCCACCGCCAATTAACAACGGATTCCAGATCTAGGATCGTATGCTCTTAAACTTTACTCAATAACTCAGCATGAAGTACTATTTTTTAAAGTATGAGGTAAATAGCACTTGTCATTAAACCTCTGCAATTACGTCAAGAAGAGGTAAGAACTAACAGATCACAAAATGGAAATTAATTCCCAGAAGTGTAACTGTATCTCCTGGGATATGCATCATCAGCTACCACTGCTAACTTTGATGCTGGTATGCAGGTCTGGTTTTATACTGTCCCTCTTAACAGTGCTGCTGTGACTCTTATCCCTCTTCAATTTAAAGATTTAACTTCTGCGGGAATGAAAATTAATACAAAATAACAGCATTTCTCAACAATACTGGGTGTACTGTTTTAATGGTGACACAGCCTTCCAGGTCACAGATCAGATAATTGCTATGCAGGGTGTCTGCTAAGCAGGCAAAAAGAGCTGTGAGGAAACCAACTTACAAAGTCAAAACGTTGATTCAAAACCAAAGTGAATCATGGACAAAAATATCTTTATAACAAAGAAACCCCAAGTAACCATTTGTGTCCTTTCAACCTATTTTTTCTAATAAAGACACAAAAAAGGTGATGTTTAAAGACTGATTTTTACGTGTTCACACATAATACCTATAGGGAAAAATTAAGCTACTTCTGTAAGAAAAATACATCTCTCATTGAAGTAGTTGTATTTGGTCAACTGGGCCAATAACTTACAGACATTATAAAAGGAGCAACACATAAAAAAGGCTACAGAAGCATTTCAGAAAGTTATTATTTAGATATATGAACAACTTCATGATCAAATGATTCTTTAAAGTAGACTCCAAAAATGAAGCTGCTCACAGACCAAAATCAGTTCAGCAGAGTTAGGGGGATTAGTATGGTTGGAACAGTAGAGCTATTAAAGTTCCCCTTTGCATGTGCTTACAGAACTTTGGTTTTCCTGTGTCAACAGAACCATGACCTTTGATGCCACATCCAGAAAAAGGTGCTTTTTGCAAACTTGGATGCAACTGAAAAGCAAAAACACTCTGCTTAAATTTTTGTCTTTTTTAATTCCCTTGTGGCAAATAGCCAGGTTCGACAGACAGCAACAGAAGAATAATTCAGACAATATGGAAATAATTTATATAATATTCTGGTAGGTGCTCACTCAAAATGTAAATAAATGAGAAAGAAACTTGATCAATGGTAGCTTGACCCACACCATGCTTGGTTCTGGAGTTATAGCTTTCAATTGTTGATACTGAAGCTAAAGGTACCCTTTAGATACCCTTGTGGCCTAAGTATGCGGAATTGCAAGTATCCCAGGAATACTAAGACAGACAAGAGGAGGAAAATGAAATTAAACTGTTTCTAATGCTTCTGCCCTGATGTTTCCATGACAAGCATTACGCAGTCTGGGTAAGACTGGAAGAACAAGTTTGCTTTGTGATACTGTTGGTTTATGAAGCCAAAATATTTCTATTTGAATTTGTCTTTTAAGAATCACTGCTGTCTATTCCTCCACAGCTATTACAGACTGAAGTTAACAACCTTGACAAAAAAATGGCACATTTATTTTCTAGAACCATTACAAAACCCAGATTTTTCCTCATCATTTTGTGAAAAATGCATTTCAATACCTTTCATAAGGGGTTGGAACTTCAGTATCTCTGCGACAATAAGTAATACTAAATATCTGAGATTACTGTACAAAAGCCAAACAGTTGACATCAAAACCAAGCTCAAGAACTGGAACTTAAAAATTTGAACTAGCAACTTTGGCCTACACTCTGAATTAAAAAAAAATCCTCAAAACAACAAAAAAAACCCTTAGAGCTGAGGTTTTGTGTGTGTGTAAGTCTATTAATAAAGTGCATACAGAGACAGGAAGTAAGCAGAAAAGATACCTCTCTCTGAAGTTATATGCAACTTTTAATCTTATTTGTGAATTTAGAACCTAAGAAGCTGTCAGACACTCAAACTTTGGTTTTAACAAAGCCTGTCTGCTGCAGAGAACAAGATCTGCTGCAGATAACATTTTAATATTAGTTTATCTCAGCAACAGAAAGAGGGGCGTATGTTTACCTTCGAACCTTGCCCCAGTTCCCAATATCTGGAAACAAGTTTGCAAAGTCATTAGGGATATAATTAACTCTAAGTACTCGCTGAACCTGAAGGTCACCTGAACAGTGACAAGCACAAGGCAGGGCAGAGAAGTGGCTGCTGAATTGATTCAGTTCATTAAAGATTGAGTGCTGAGCTCACTGGAGACCCACTAATGAAAACGAGGTCCTTTCAGATGAGTCGGAAGACTGGTCAGCAGTCTCTAACTCCTAAAATCTGGACAGGGCTCCTCCTAAAAAAATCTCCTGCTTAATAAAGGTTTAATGTGTTGTATATACATTTAAAATAAACATGTTCAGTGGGGCCTTCCAGGGAAACACGGCTTAATTGCTCGTGGGGGCAGCAACCAGCAGCACAACTGGGCTCCCAACAGTTTTAAACTAATTGGCAATTTCAGCTAAACCCAGCTGCTTTTCTTCTTTGAATCCATACATAGTGGAGTGCAAGTTAATTCCATGAGCATTTTAACTGAACAATAAGAGGGAGCCAAAGACAGAAGAAGTGTCACTGTGTTCTTGCAGCTATGCAAGCTGTCATGTGAAGAAACAAATAATGAAAAAAAATGTGCCCCACAGGATACAAAACCAAACTAAAACCGCACACATCTTTGGAATATGCATTTTAATGGGCCTTCTTTTGCAACGCCTTTCAGAATTATTTCACTGATTTGTTTAAAATATAAAGTATCAATGCACTTTTTACTACATCTTTGTAAATAATTCAAATTAGTAATCCAAGGACATCCATGAGAAATCAGCCGAACAATTAGACCTTCAAGAGACATTTAACAAATAAAACCGATAAAATTTTAACATTGCAGGATCTGATCTTATTTTCTTTGAAGCTGAAGGACACCAGAAGTCTCTCCTTTCCAGACCTATTGTTTTGGGAGTCTGGGAATATTTCTTTAAATATTTTCTCACTGCAGAAGAGTTTCACTTCAAATTTAAACTCCTAATGCTGCTGTTACCAACTCAGAGAGAAGCAGTAATGCTACCTCAAGCTCCCTAAAGCTCCCCAGTCCTTCTCAAAAGTGGCTTTGGTTTTGGTTTGCTTTCTTTTCTAATTTGCAGCACAAGTAACACTGCAGGCCAGCCAAGCAGAGGTATACTTACCTGCATATACAACATATCAAGAGATAACAGCTTATATGTCATTCTTGAATTTTTAAGATGCACTTTCCAAAATAAAGGCCTAGAGGTTCTCCCCCCCTCCCTTTAAAAAAAAAAAAATCTTAAATACTGCAAACCTGAAGCAAATACAATAGCATTAGAATAACATTGTGCTAAATTCTGTTGTGGTGCATAGTACACATATGCGTACTATGGATGGTGTTAAAATGTGCAACACGGAGCAGGTGCCAGGCAGGTCTTGCAAGGCACGGCAGAGCCCTGCCTGCCTGGGCAAGGGGCACCCTGCTCTGCACAACTAGGCATCTCCTCACCCTCTTTACTGACAACCTAGCCTACAATGAATCTAATTACTTGAAAAACAATTACGTCAATATCACAGAATGGTTAGAGTTGGAAGGGACCTTAAAGCTCATCTGGTTTCAACCCATGGGCTTGGTCACCTTCCACTAGAGCAGGCTGCACCAAGCCCCGTCCAACCTGGCCTTAAACACTTCCACAGATGGTGCAGCCACAGCTTCTCTGGGCAACCTATGCCAGTGCCTCACCACACTCACAGTAAAGAACTTCTTCCTAATGCCTAAT